ATTAACTTTCAAAAAGGTGGAGCGAAGACCCACTCATATCGAAAAATAGTATTATAGTATGAGAAAATGACTCTTTTTGCCCGCTTTAGTGTGTGTCTAATATTTCACAGGCAAATAATTTCAATCTTTGAGGGATTTTTGCAAATTATAGAGATTTTACATAAAGTATATTTTAATGTTAGACGAAATATCAAGGAAAATTTTGATATAATTGAAATTTAATTTTTCATCTTCATGTTTGTCACACTATAGGCTTATCGCTCGTTATGTTCACCCATCTCCTTTTAAAACTAAAATTTATGAAATTTTTCTTTGCCAAATGAAAGTTGACAGCTTAAAATATCATACCTAAAAAAATAAGTTATATCTGATGGTTAATTTGTTGACCCCCCAGCCTCCTTAAAGTATTTCTCAGAGGATGCGAATGTTGTGTCATAAAAGTGTATTTTTAAGGTATAGTGGGTCTTTGCTCCATGTCTTTGTTTACCAAAAAATGTATATTTTTATGCAAACTTTGACGGTAACCTTTCAATAAAATGGAGCGATGACCCACTCATATAAAAAAAAAAATGTGTTATAGTATGAGAAAAATGATCGTTTTGCCATCTTTAGTGTGTGTGTATGCTATTTCATAGGCAAATAATTTCAATCTTCGTGAGATTTTTGCAAATTGTGGAAATTTTACATAAAGTATACTTTAATGTTAGATGAAATATCAAAGAAAATTTTGCTGTAATTGAGATTTAATTTTTCACCTTTATGTTTGTTACACTATAGGCACTTTGCTTGCCTTGTTCGCCGATCTTCTTTGTATCAGTAATTTGAGGAATCTTGATCAATTTATTTTAGAGAGCTTGAATAAGTTACACTTCTGAGAGCTCTAAATAAATTTACACAGAGGGCTAAAATGGTATATGCACTGGTCGAAGTAGGAGTAAAAAAAGAGATTTGTTGTTACATTCATTCTTAATAAAATTAATTCTTCTTAACTTTTTAAGTGTTGTTATTTAAGGTGTATAAAGCTTTAAAATACTTTGAAAAGACCTGCTTTAGTTGTCTGTATTGCAGAATTTGTTTTACATTCCATTCGACATCATTCGTACCTACTTTGAACTGGAATGTTTTTTCGGTGAAATATGAATTTTTATGTTTAGTTGCTAAGGGGATTGCATGTTGCCATGGCTTAATTATTAGGAGATTACATGTTGCCATGACAACAACTGATAGAATATTTTATATTCTTTCCGCTCTCTCAACATATACAATCATCAACACATTAATTGAATATTCATTTCCATCACAAACAATATGATCCCAGAGTCAAATCTGTCTTACAGGAGGCATAGGGTACATTGGTTGCCATGTACTGGTAATAGTTGCCATGGGTTGATTAAGTACCAAAAAAACTTTAATAAGACCAACATTTCATTGTCAATTTTGCTCAACGACATTTTTCTGACTTAATTTGAATAAATATTAATAAGATTACATGAATACATGTCAAAATTAACTTTCTTTGCCGCGTTGCTATGGAGAACCTGTTGTTGCTATGGAGATAAATAATTATACAATATTCAATAATTTGCTAGGAAGTCCAAATTTAATTCTACTATTTCAAAATTTGTTTTTCATTTTTGTAGATAACAATTCATTTGATTTTTCCGTAAACTTTTTACATTGTTTCTCATTTTATGTATCAAAATGCCCATATTTGTTGCTAGGCAACAAATTCAATTTTCAAAAAGGCCCGTGGATTTGACTTCAAATTCTAAAGGAGAAATTCATCTGCTTTTATGTGAAATACACGCAACAGCTGTATTAATCTGGCCTTTTTTAAAATTTGGCCTTGAATATTGCCAAAATTATGAAAAATGCTGAATCAGCAAAAATTGCAAAACATGTGTACCTTCCAATGGCTAGCACAGAAGTAACTTAAGACCTAAATTTCTTTTATTGCATTATTAAAACACTTTAAATGTGTATCTTTATTACACCAGTAAGTGAAAAATATTCTCATGGTATTAAAATTTTATTTTAAGCCTTAAAGATAGGAGAATTTTTGTCCATCAACACAGAAAAATTTGCTGGTTGCTAAGGAAATTTCTTTGGCCGGGTTTCCATGGTAACCATGACTCAAAGCATTTTTCATTTTACATACATTGTTCATAGTTCAAAACAAATCTATGTGTGGAAAATCATCAAATTCTGAGAACCCTCATATATCACCCTTTGTCTGATTTTTATGTGGACTGGTACTTAATAAGTCTGAAATTAATCTTAATTGACAGGTAAAATAAAATAAATAAAATATGTCTTGTAAATGCACAAAATCATCAGCTGTTCTTCACTATTATTGACCGAGAACAATAGTGTTCTATTTTAGATAGGTCCAACATAAAAAAAATTCAATATAACAAAAACAAGAACGAACGGTTTTATTTTGGGAAAAAAGCAAATGAAATTGGGAAAAAATCGGTAATTTTTGATAGGGGAAAGTATGGAAAGCCATAGGGGACCCCCAGGGTCAGGGTCTATATAATCTATAGTTTTAACCCTGGCCACCCATGATTTCTACCCTGGCCTTCCCATCTTTGAAGCCATAGGGGACCCCCAGGGTCAGGGTCTATATAATCTATAGTTTTAACCCTGGCCACCCATGATTTCTACCCTGGCCTTCCCATGTTTGCATCATGGACACCCCACGCTTTATCATCATGGCCTAGCCGTATACAACCTGGCCGATCCATGTTTGCAGCATGGCCATCCCATCTAGTCATGTTTACCCCGACCATACACAGCCTAGCCCGGCCATGTACTACCCTGGCCTAGCCATGTTCGCACCATGCCTATCCCACGCTTCTAAACATGGCCTGGCCATCTTCACCCTGGCCATGTATATTATCATGCATCTTGCATTCGACGATTAGCTATCCTGGCTGGCCATGTTCAACCTGGTCTTGCATAATAATGTCTTGGCGTGGCCATGTTCCCCATAACCCTCTACCATACATAGCCTAGCCTGGCCATTTTGCTCGCGTACCCTGGCCGTATAGGCCTGGCCATGATAACCCTGGCCATGTACACCCTCGACCCTGTACATTGCCAAGATTTCGGGTGACCTCGATCATTAATTCCCAAGCTTCTACGAGATGAACGGCCAAGATTTCAAAAGATCGAGATTTGGCCGGCCAAGATTTCAAGAGATCGAGATTTGGCCAAGATTTCTAAGGACGCGGATGTGGAGGTATCGTGTTTATTTGATGTAGGAGGCATCGTGATCGTGGTCATTACTGATTACATTTAATGTAAGTAATATATCAGTAATATTCTTTGTTGTTTGTTTTAGTGTTAATAACAAAAATTCTTGTTTTTTGATGTAAGTTATACATGAATACAGTTTATACAGTTATTTGACTTTCTCCCAAAACTGAGCGAGTCTTTCATAATCGAGGAAATTCGAATGAAATGTTCATTTTGTATTGAAACTCAATTAACATTCATAACTATTGATCTTATTATCCCTAAAATTATTTTTTATATCAATAGATTTATAAAATATAATTAATAGAAGCTATATGTCTTTTAAGGTTGATGATTTCTATCAATCATTGTATCTTCCTTTTACTATTCCCAAATTTAAAATTCAAATTGTCCTCTTAAGCTTAGAGCTAATAGGAATATCCACTGACCAAAATTAATTTTCAAATATTCGGAACTACTATCTATTTATAATTTGTTTACTTTTGCAGGATGTTCTGCATAGAATGTGGTAGTCACCTAGAACCCAACAACAAGTTCTGTGGGGAATGTGGCACTGCTGTAAAGAAGAAAAGTATGTATGGGGTTTAAAGAATAATTGAATTTCGAAATTAAGTGCCATTTATTATGAGCAATTTAGAAAAAATAAATTGCTTAACTGCTCAAAAATGATTATATATAGATTATATGTGCTCTTACGTATAATGATACATATGATATCTATAGTCAGTCATATTCAATATATCATATTCCACCCAGAGCACTAGCAAAATTATTATGAAAAAAGTTCAGTGATTGGGAAGGCCATAAAGGGCAATGGGACTATGGCGCAACTGTCAACGTTTTTAAAGGACCATTTTGAAATGAATGGGCCATCCATATATTTTGATGGGTCATTTTAAGAAAAATACAGATTTTTAAATGACAAACAAATGTGAAATACAAAAGGAAACCAATTTCTTTATTAACCAAATTTTATATTTCATGTATGCCGTGTAGCACATTTTAAGGAACCCACAAACAGTATAATTTTGTGTATTTTGGGTCAATAATGTCAAAATTTCAATTAAACATTGAAAATGAATGAGGTAACGTACCTTTGTTGCCCTAAAAAAATGCTTCATGTAACAAGAAGCAGTTTTTGCCAGGTTTTAACCAGTGATATTTGTAACAGTTGTATTTACATGACTACATTTAAAACAAAAGTAAAACAAGCAAGAAAGTCGTTCACAATATATTTCCAAATAACTTCGCTAAAATTTTGATGTGCACCTTGGCGACACCACTGGTTGATTTAATGCGCCAATTTTCACTTCATTGCAACTATGCTGCAAACCCTTCCCACTCACTGAAAGTTGCAAAATAAATTTTGAAAAGATGCATATATAGACAATTGTGTGACAAACTTTAATAAGCATTGGTGTCTGTTATAAGTATTACAAAAACAGTCTGGGATGAAGAAATATATTTATTGCAGTATAAAAATGCTGTAAAATATAAAACAATTTTAATGTTAGAGATGAAAGATGAATTTTATGTCCATGTATTGACATATGTACATGTTCATAGACAATAAAAATGATTTTTTTTTTCATGTTTACAGCTGTTGATGTTGAGTGCACACCAGTTGCAAAAGGCGAATTAAAGTTAATGGAAATTCAGTTATATAAATAATTTGGTTTTGATAAGGATGTTTGAAAATGTATTGTATTAATGAAATGGATATTATTGTTTAGGCAGGGTTGCAGATACTCGTGATATCACAGTACCAAGTGAAGGTAATTCTTATAGATATTCAGTAGATAGATAGATAAATGGATAGATAATGGATGAATGGATGGATGGTAAGCATGTAATATGTCCTCCTAGATTGTAGAAAAATTATTTTATTTGTTGTCATTTAGAAGCGGAACAGAAACCAAGTGGAAGTGGGTCCACAGGCCCTTTCAAAAGGATTGAAGATGAAGGTAAATAAATTTTATATTTAACTGAGGACATACAAGTATTATGATATGCTAAACAACAATGTAGTAACTAGAATTATGGTAAACTATAGCACAGGCAAAAATTAAAACATGTTCCGACTTAAAACATCCATATGTAATTCAGTATCTGTAACTGCAACAAAACATGTGCAAAATATAAAATGGACAAGAAATTTGCCTCATACACTTTGGTCAACAATTACACTTAAATCCAAGTTTGTACAGAAATCAAAATATATATTTTTGTAAATATCTAGTCCATAATTATACATTTACAAATAAATGAACTGAAAAGACTAAAATGCACATGAAAGCTACTACATTTATATACAACTGATTTGTAAATTGACAGATTTTCTTTTTTTATGTCTATGAAGGAGTGAAGTCTAAACTGGATTTTTTGAGGGCAAAATTCATCGCCAGTAAAAAGAAGATGATTGGTACCACCTTCTCCAAAGAGAGTGAGAAACCAGAGGTAAAGACTTGAAATTAAAGACAAATTAGTTATATACAAGTGTTTTTGTCACCATTATTATTTGCATCATCAGTTTATTAGATTGAAAAAAATTTGGACCTTCTATTTTGTGTGTGGGTGTTAAAAAAAAAAGGAGGGGGTTCACATGAATCACTCAATTAACCTATTGCCATCTATGTTAGTATATGGTGTGTTAACAAACATTTTCGACTCTCCTCTGAAACAATTGATCACTGAAAATTAACGAATAAAAAATACACAGAAAATTAAAGCTATCATATACTTTTTTTTCTGTTAATAATTTTTTTTCTTTTGGACTCATTCTTGTCGGAATGTTTCAAGATGCTAAATATATTTTTTGCAGCTGATTTGATGCATTGCGTCAATTTAAATTGTTATATAATGAATTGGGTTCTCTATTCACTGCAGTTTTATTCCAATGTCATATTAAAGTCAATTGAGACATGGAATTGACAACCAGGAAACAGAATGCTATTTCTTTGGTAACAATATCAAATTATTTTGGGGTAGATGAAGGGAAAAAGCCGAATGTTTTGTGTGCGATTAGGATGTTATTTAATGCATGGAAGCCTGTGTTCAGTTTGTGTGTTGTAATGTCTTTTCAGAAGGCTGTCATTAAAAATAAGTCAACACTTATTAAAGAGTTCTTCTGATTATAGTGAATTGTTTTGTTGGTTTGATAATAATGATGTAAAATGGTATGTCCCCAGCATTTCATTATAAATGTGTTTTACTGTACTGTTATGAACCTTTGTAAATATCAGAAATGGAAAAATAAAACATTAAAATGTTCAAACCAAATCATGACAATGTCCAATTGAATTTGATTTAAAATAGCTCAGTGTCTAGTGCATTTCTGTTGTTGTTGGTATGTATTAACAGAGTTAATTGGTCTATTACTTGTAAATTATTTAGGCTCCCTACTTCAACATATTTGATTTTGAAAAAAAATTCTTCTTAAACACCAGTGTTTAGAAATTCGCTTCTTGGATCAAAATGAGAAAAGGATCCAACGATTGTTCAATGGAGTGGATGCTTCTATGATATTGAGAGTTGAGAAAGATTCTTCGATGGACAATTGGATGCAGAGTGTGGAAAACAAGTTCAAGACATCATTCACAATGGTACCTATGAGGTTGGAGGATAAAACGTACACAGAGTTACCACGGGACCTTAAGTACCAAGAATTAAAGAAGCGTTCAAAGGGGAAGAGAAAGTACCATGGATTTTACGTTAAAATATATGCAAGTAAGTGTGTGTGTGTGTGTGTCCATAAATGCTAAATTTATAAATTATCAATTGTTTTTTTTAGTAGAGCCCTCTGAATTTTTTAGAAACGCTTGTTTTAATTAAGATTTTGTATGTGGATGCCCAGTAAAATGTAAGAATTTGGGTTTAATATTTGGGGCATCATTAATTATTATTTGTGGATGGACGAAACAAGTCAATACTTTTAAGTTTCAAACAATTGAATTACAGCACGAGGAAATATTGTAAAAAATGTCAAAAAAGTAAGATTTGTTATTTTGTTCCACTTGATTGATTTTGGTTTGTTTTAACTTTGAAATGAAAATTTTTCTGAACAAAGGTGGTCTGTCGTGCTGATGTATTCAGTATTAAACTTTGAAAATTAATCATGATATCAATTATTCTCAGATGAGAGTTAATAGCTATAAAGTTGATATTTTCTCTATGTTCTGGGGGGATCAAACCTTAATATCTCCCAAACTTTCAAGCAGTAAATTGTTATTATACCAAACAACCTATTACTAAGTTAAGAACTGCGAACGATAGTATTGTTCTCCTGCCTACATCCAAGTCAATTTTCAAAAGTTAACACATTTGAATGATTTTTCAAATCTATAGAGATATTTATATGAATTTTCATAAAACGTTACTTCTTTGGGAAAACAAAGAGAGATAACTCTATAATTTTGGGAAAACTTGTGTTTTTCACTATAGAAATCAACGGAAAACGGAAAATATTTTCAAAACATCTCCCCCCCCCCCCCCCCCCCGTGAAACAAAAATTCCTTTTTACAGGTGATATGGACTGTCATTTCACAAATTTGTACCGAAGCTTTTTGGCTTTTTGTGTTTCAACGGGGGGGGGGGGGGGGGCATATGTTTACAGACAAAAAACAACAAAAATGCTTATTTTTTCACCAATTTCAAAGGGGTTTACAGCTAAAACATTTTATTTTATCAATAATATATGTTTAATTTTATATGAGTAAAACATAAGAAAAGATTTAAGGAACATTTATTCATATCCAAGTATATTTTAAAATGTGTTCATGCTTAAGAGTCCGATTTTAGTGAAAAATATCGTCTACCCCCTTACTTAAAGAGCTGGAATTAGGGGTAATTAACTATTTAACACTGGTATTAATATCATCAGTCAATTACCATTGAACTGTTCTTTGCATTCAACAAAGATTTTACGGCCAAATTGTCATTAATATTGAATTAAATGGGTGTAAAATGTAGGCGGGAATCGAGAGTTAGCGTGCGTAGTTCTTTAAACAGAATATTTCATTTTCCTAATACTGTAGATCACTTAATTTTCGCAACAGCTTATTTTGGCGAGATAGTAATTGACACTTTATTAGTGAGACAAAGTTTTCACGAATTGTGGTTAGTGCTCTATATAATCTTAAAGAATACTAATATATGCGAAAATGAAATTTTTGTGAGCACTCTGTCTAGTATTATTACGCCAAAACGAAGTTCCCGCAAATAAAAAGTGATTTACAGTAGTTTTCCAACCCTACTAAGGTAAAAACACAGTGAATGTTTACCTTTTTATGTTAATTTGTCCTTTTCTTTCATCATTTGAATTTATTGCTGACTTTGTTTTCTGATATAAGGATTTTGGATATTCAAAGATTTTAGATTCATTCTTTTGTTTACATCAAATGATGGTCACATGTGACTTACAAAGAGTGGAATATGATATTTATTCCTTGGGAGACTTGGTGTTTTATTCACCCTGTCACATGACTGTCTAGACTGATAAAATGATGCATTATGAAAGATTTTTCTTGTTTTATGAACATTATAAATTATCAGCATATAAGAGCTAGGGAAGGAAGGAGTTTCCTATGTAGAGCTAGAATACCAGAAATACATTTTAAGTAAAAATCATTGAAACCTTGTTGTAAAACTGTAATAACAATTAAGCTTTGGATACTGATGTACATTGTTCATTTCAGTTATGTTACAGTATACAGATATCATTAGTCACAATTTTGAATAGAAAGCTTTGGTTGGATGTCTAAATTTTAATATATTTTTCAATCTTGCAATTTTGTTGTATTTTCTAAAGGGTCCAAGCATTGAATCAGATAATGTGTTGTCAGGAAGCGGGGTAAATGTAAGTACCTTAATAATACATATGATATGGTAGATATCTTCATATGATACTTTATACAGTATACAGTTTTAATTTCAGTGGTTTCTAAATTTGCATGACATGCATATTAATTGTCTTCCTTACAATGACACATAAATTTTGTGAACCTCATAAAGTTCCATCATGTAAAGAAATACTGTACCTTTAGCTGAAAATTATACATACAAATTCATAAGACTGGTTGGCTCTGTCAGTAAATATATTGAAAGTGCCCGCTTTGCCCACGGTTTATTTCCTATAACCATACAGCATATGATAGATGCATACAATCCATACAGCAAATGATAGGTATAGATCTCTATAATTCAGATGCATTACAAGAAAAAAAAGTCTTACAAATAATATGATTAATTTTACAGGTTCTCATATAATCATCTGTTTCACTGAAATAATTAGGAAATGATGTTTTTCTTTAAACTTCTAACCGAGAAGTGGTGTGTGTGTATGTGCATTGGACTTATTTTGATGTCCAACTGCCTGACAGTAACCAGTAACCAGATAAATTGTAAAATAAATATCAAGTAATCATCATACAGTATCTCTCCTTGGATGATTATGATTTATTCTTCAATTTTTTTAACAGAAGCCAAAAAGTCAGCGCATTGTCCTCTCTGACTCGGAAGACGAGTTTGAAGACCCTGTAAGTTTAGCACAAGTAATAATTGGTTTAAGGAATTCTTAGAGAATATTTATCAATCATATGCAAGAAATTGCTTGAAAAATAACTTTTTTATTTGCACATATCATTTTACACACAATCTACATATAATTTACAGAAATGATTATTCTTATAGGAAAAGAAATTGAAGACAGAAACCCCTAAAACAAGTACACCTGTTTGTACACCATCCAAAGTGGTAATTTGATAATTTTCTCTTGGATAGCAAGATTACAGTTTTATTTTAACTGCACTATATAAACAAATGTAGATGATATTTGGTGGTTATGAGGTAATGGACAAACAATCAGTATATACATGAATTATTGTAAAATGCATTGTATTTAGCCCTTTAGGCTTTGTCAGATTGTTACAACTGGTGAACTATGCAAGTTTTAATCTATATGAGACTATGAGTTGCCCATTTCAGATTGAATTTTGAATTTCATATTTTACAATAGGTACATGTAGCAGCTATTGACGAAGATCTACCCATGCTTCATTCTCCTTCAAAGGTAACAAAGTGGTTTTTTTTTACAATTATATAAGTCCATATTAAAGTAATGTACAATTGGACAGGTTTTACTTGTGTTTATTTAATTGATGCATTTTATGTTATCCCTATTAAGTTTCCATGGTGCTTAGAAAATTGCAAAAAGGGAGATAATTCTTTTTTTTTTTTCAGATAAATTGAGACTTAGAAATATTTAAAAAATTATATTTTATTCACAGATCTGCCACACAAATACTTAATGATATATTCTCACTAACAGATATATATTTACTCCTTTGTTTGCAGAAAGAGAAGAGAACATCCAGCCCTGGACAATCATCAGTAAGATTACAAAACTCACTGAATTTGTTTTGTTTTAACAATTCCCACCCAACACACTCCCCATAGTTTGAGTCAATTTTCAAGCAAATTTTTTTATTCCTTTATTTTTTGGTAAGCTTACAGGGAATAACTGGAAATTTAAAAAGGCCAAGTATAAATTTAATGGGTATGATTTTCAACAGATTTCAACAGGTTTGATTTTCATGTACTCTGACGGTGAAATAAAGTTGCATCCTCTGAAGTGTATTTGTATTTAAAACAAAATTAACATTACTTGTAATGTTCTGTATTACAAACTTTGGTTCTAAGATATTGTTAGGTTTAAAAAAAACACCTAAGAATGCCATTTTCAAGTATTGTACATAATCGCTTGTATTTTCAAAATGATAGTAAATGTGTTACCAAAAAATTTGTCAACAAAGCAAAAAAAAAAAAATCTATTTGTGAAAAGGTTGATCTCTTTACAATACCATTCTGATATACCATTATATACCAGAGTATGCCAAATTGGGGAATTGAAATTTTGAACTTTTATACGATCCTTGGAATAAGCCAGTTGTTTATGTTTTAAAAATAAAATAACATCACTTTGATGACTTTTCACAATAGCTTTCACAATTATATAACATACCATTGATAATGGATCTACAAAATACATTTGCAGATTGAGAAAGACAGTGAAGAGCTGCCAGATATTCCTTTACCTATGACATTAAAGGTACATGTAATGTAATGTAATATAATGTAATTTAATGTAATGTAGTGTAATGTAATGTAATGTACTGTAATGTAATGTAATGTTGATTTACTTGACAATTTTAGGATACAGATGCATCTATATGTACAGATGATGAAGACTGGACATCAAATCTTGAAAATAAGGTATTGATTTCTGAAATTTGCAGGTTAAACATCAAGAGCTTGAACTACATATACATGTATCTATTTATTTATTTTTGACACAAAAAAGTCTTTGATGACAAGAAATTGCTACATAGAATAACCAGTGTTAGTGTATTTTTTAAAAACATTCCTTTCCTTCATTTGAGGCTTGAATTTCATATATATACCTATGTCGTACGATATATAACATAACTTGGGTCAGTTTACATTTTTCTCACATAGATGAATACTCGACATTCCCTGAAAAAATGTTGAAAAAGTTAAAAAAAATTTTAACCTGAAATGCTACCAGATATGGTATGCAGGCTAAATAAGGTAATCAAAACACAGCAATTGTGCTTTTCATAAATTCATGTTTTCAGCCCTGTGTTATGATCCATGGATTGCAATAAATAATGCAAATTCATTTGTCTCTGGCACTTTACTGTAAGCATGTTTTACTGCAACTGGTCTGTAATGCCCATATGCCTTGGTCTGTCACTCTATGCATACACATCAGGAAAGGGATGATTAATGATTATATACTGAAAATGAATTAATGCTTTGAAATCTGCTCCATGGTATTAATCAGACATTTATGATGAGCAATGGTGCCTCTTTCAAAATTGTGAATTTCATGGCCTCTGGTTTAAAACATGAACCAAATTCAGTTGTTGGAAAGTTATTACATGATACTCAGGTGACCTATAAGGGCCGGGATCATCTTGTTTTTTCTAATATTTATTTGCTTATCTAAAAATTTATGATTTCTTGTGGGTATTTCTTGTATACATTAATGTTTATTCATATATACAGGTGGATGAAGACAATATCCTGAAAGACTTTGAGGAAGTAAGTATCAGTTATTATTTCTCTCTCTCTATGTTTGTGGGACTGTGTGTGTGTCCACAGACAAACACACAAACCACAAAGAAAAATGCAGTGATAGAGCTCCACTTCTGCCCCTGCCTGAGGTTGAACTCTAGATATACATGTAGTTAAAGAATGGAAGGGGGAGGGGGAAGAAGAGTCTCAATAGTTTTTGTTATTTGTTATTTTGTTACATTGATAATTACACTTAAAAGTGCTCTATATTATTGGTAAACAAAATGCTTCTTTTTAGTAATAAACAAGAAAAGGATGTTGTTTTTGGTGTAAAAAATACTTTATAATATTTGGATCAACATTCATTATAAGAATTTTTTTTACTGAAAGGGGGTACATGTAATGATGAAAACTTGTTGTTTGTCAGACTTTGAAATATTGAATTAAGTCAGTTCACAAGGCTGAATGATATTTAGACATCTTAAAAATATAGATTACTTTATTTTTGTCCACTGCTTTAACTGAAAGTGGGGAATTTTAATTTTGGTCTGTCTGTTCTTCTGTATGTATTTCTGTCTGTCTGCAACACTTGTTTCAGAGCGATAACAGGAAAAGCTTTTGACCTTTTGCAGTGAAATAATACACAACAACTCCCTAAGGCCTAAGAGAGATCCCTATTTATTTCATGACCGTAGGAAAGAGGGGGTGGTCCCCCCCCCCGAATAAATTTGCCACTTGTAGAATACTATAGAGAACATAGCTACTATATGCCTGTGCCCCCTCAATAATAACATCTGATGCCCCGCCTTTTTTTTAGCTCACCTCGACGAAGTCGAGATGAGCTTATGTTATACCCCCGGTGTCGGCGTTAGCATCGGCGTCCCGGTTAAAGTTTTAGGAGCAAGTCTATTCCCAAGTAACTATAAGCCCTACCTGGACCAAACTTGCATGGATGATGCATCTAGGGATGGACACTGTCACACTTGCTTCGGATGCTGGATCTGATCTACATTTTCCAGATGAGTGACCAGGTTAAAGTTTTTGGAGCAGGTTCATTCCCAAGTAACTATAAGCCATACCTGGACCAACTTGCATGGTTGATGTATCTAGGGATGGGCACTACCAGACTTGCTTCAGATGCTGGATCTGACCTACATTTTCCAAATGAGTAACCATGACAATGTGTTTGGAGTAGCTCTATAATTATATAGGCTGTTATGATTTAACTTACATAGATGGTGCATTCCAGACTTGCTTCAGATGTAGGAAATGAAAGTCTGACATTTTCTTGATTTGTGAAAAGCTTAAAGTTTTTGGAACAGGTCAATTCCCAACGAACTATAAGACCTTCTTACACAGAACTTGCATGAATATTGTTTTCAGGATGCACACTAACTATAAAGAAAATATGATGTGAGATTTGCATAACTTTTACTGATAACATTCGTTGAGGTGAGCTTCGTAATCTTTGATTACCTATGTTTTTTGCTCGTCAAGGAATCTTTGGTAGTTGATAGTGCCCCCCCCCCCCCCAAACTAAAATTGCTTTCTATGGGCCTGTATTTTTAGGTCAAAAGGGAAAAAATCAAGTCATAAATTCATTAATTCTCTCTGTTTTAACACCTTTGTTTTCGCATGAAATCTCAAGAAGCCTTTGAGCTTTCTTTTGCAGTGAAATTTTATACCACAAATCCCTATGGACTAAGGAAAACCCCTATTTATTTTAAGGTCAAATTAAGTCAATGCCGTAATTTCATACATTCTGTGTGTGTGTAAAACTTTCATTTCTGGGCGATATCTCAAGAAGCTTTTGCAATGAAATTTATACCATAACTCCCTTTGGCCCTGGCCCTTTTTAAAGTGTCCCCCCCTCTCCCAATCCACTCATGCTCTTCTCTTTAGCTCACCTGAGCTTGAAAGCACAAGTGAGCTTTTCTGATCACATTTTGTCTGTAGTCCGTCTGTCTCTAAACTACTCGCATTTTCGACTTCTTCTCCAGAACCACTGAGCCAGTTTCAACCAACTTGCCACAGAGCATCCTTGGGTTAAGGGGTTCAAGTTTGTTCAAATGAAGGGCCACGCCCCCTTCCAAGGGGACATAATTAAGATTTATTGAAAAATTAATACCATTTTTTAAAAATCCTTTTTTCAAGAATCACATGGCCAGGAAAGTTGAAACTCCTGTGGAAACATCCTCAGGTAGTGAAGATTCAATTTTGTACAAATTATGACCTCCGGTGGTAGGGCGGGGCCACAATGGACGATCAAAGTTTTACATAGAAAATATATAGGAAAAAAATATTTTACATAGAAATATATAGGAAAAAAGTCTTTAAAAATCTTCTTCTCAAGAAAAGCAAAGCCATGATTGGTCATATTTATATGGAAGCATCCTCAGGTAGTGTAGATTTTATCTTATTCAAACCACGATTCCCGGGGGTAGGATGGGGCCACAATGAGAGATCAAAGTCTTACATAGGAAAATATAAGAATATCTTTTTTTTCTCAAGAACAGAAAAGCTATGTTTAGTCATATTGATATTGAAGCATCCTCAGGTAGTGTAGATTCAAGTTCAAATGATGACCCCTGGCATAGGAAGGAGCCACAATGGGGGATCAAATTTTTACAAAGGAATATATGGGAATTCTTTTTTTAAAATCTTCTCAAGTACAACAAAGCCATTTGTTATATTGACATGGAAGCATCATCAGGTAGTTTAAAATTCAAGCCCCCCCCCCCCCTCTAATCTTTTCAATACTGGACTGATTTGTGCTTTTGCCTAACCCAATGTCCTTAGGTGAGCGATGTGTCCCATGGGTATCTTGTTTCATTAAGCTGGGACACAGATTATCTGAATTAGCTTGTCTGTTTTGGAATTAGGTACTCTTTTCATTCCTTCCCTCATCATTGTGTTGATAGAAATTAGATTACCAAAATTCCATTTTTACTCAACCATATGAATGCTGTGTAAGCTTGCATGCATGGACATTTATGAGAGCCTTGTGGAGAATGTTTTCTTGTAGTAAAAACTGCTTCAATTGGATTTTATCCTTAATTCTTACAGATGATGCAGAAAAAAAGAGAAAGGCAGTTGGTAAGCATAGTTGTCTAAGTTTTGTATTGCGTATGTGTCTATCAACGTGGAGGGAATTAAAAATGTAAAGTAATTCTTGTTATTAACACAGTTTCCATGCATTTATGCACACAATAAGATACTTTATGATATCATATTTTAGACAGAGAGGAACATGCATACTTGTGAAGGCATGATTTAAATTAATACTAAAGTTCATATAAATAATACTGTAGGTTCCTCACATTACAAGAGTACTCAATTTCATGATTCTGCCATTTAAATTTGTTTCAAATCATGAGAACATAAAATTGTGAGCACCAAAGTTTTGTTATATGTGAACATGTAATTTCATATAGTTTACAGATAGCAGAAAACTAATCAAAATAATCCCAAGATTTTAAGATCTATGAGGGGTACTTGTGGCATTTTTATGTTGATAATAATTCCCCACCATGAAATGGGAATCTACAGTACAAGTTACTAACATGCTACACGAAAGAAGCTTGTGTGAGATATCAAGGTGAATCCCCTTATATGTTTAGAAAATTGAAGAATTTCTGAAATGCTTTTATTGTATTTTGTGTAAATGGCACACAACATTTTACATATGACAGATTTAATCTTTGTATTCTTTGTTTGTCGGAAACTGTTCTTTAAATAAAAACTGTTTAATTCCATTTAGAATTTCTTACATGATATATATATATATATATATATTCATGTGCTGATATATATATATATATAATATCCTTGAACAGCACTGACTCTTGTTTACTAAAAAAATAACTCCCTGCAACACACGTTCTCTACCCCTTTATATATACATTAGGTTGCTCATCAAGAGCAATGCTCTTATCGAGGTCAATTACATAATAAATACATGTATATTGGTCGCTCACAATTTGTACTATCATCCTACTTAACAATTTTACATAAGGCACTAAATGAAATAACTAAAACAAAAAATATTTCAAATATAAAATGATTTTGCAACTATACATGCTGTAGAATTACTGTTCTGGACAAAATTATTTTTATTAGTTTTGTTTATCTAGCTTAAAATGAAATATACATATTTGAAATAAACATGAGTTTATTTTTTCAAGTTTGCAGAGAGCACCTTCATCGACTTCCCGACGAAAGAGGATGTCAGAAAAAATCTGTGTGTTGTTTACGAATGTCATGGAGGTCTTGCGATAAATCGACCGTTTAAATATGGTGACACAGTCAAGGTATGTTAATTAGAGGAGGAGTGTATCAAGGAGATACAACTTTGTTAAACACTTAAGAGTAACAAATTTAAAGTAAATTGTATGCAATACATGTAGCTACCATACAAGATGCATGTATTGTAAACATAATTTTTATTTTCATATACATTAAATTAGGTATATGTGCAGGTACTGAAGAACCTAATTTTATGTGTTACTTAAATTGCTCCAAGTATAAATCATATACCCTGTGTGCCAGCATTTCATGTGCTGATTTGAATTAAAATTCAATAACTTGCATGATTTCTTGTACTTTGGTATTTAATTTATATTAAATTAAGCACATGAATAAATACAAGTTATAAACACCTAATTATGTCATTATTATTTCTTAGAGTGTATATAGCTGGATTATACAACAAATGGATCCAGAAATTCTTCCCCCGGTGTTCCATTTAGAGTGCTCATCCCCAACCAGTTGCCAGAACAAAGGATGCCCCCATATATATGAATTGGGCAACAGCTATAAAGTTAAGGTAGAGGAGTTGCCGGATGTCTTATACCTTCGTGAAGGGGTAGGTATTTCATGTACCATCTTTGAAGATGCAAAGAATTGTAATTGCATGGATGTCATAAAGTCAGTCTCTGTATTAAGCAGTTAACTGTAGTTAGAATTAGATTCATTCAATTAGCTAAATTCACTCCAAAACCACCAAGAATTATTTCTGAGTAGGCAAAAATTTAATGGCATAAAAAAATGAATACTGAAATATGTCGAAAGAAATACATTGAGAAAAAATTATTTTCACCTTTTCAGTGTTTTGCTGTAAATGATACCTTTACTGGTCTTGGGGATGTCCTGATTTAGCCAGTCAGCAGCTTTCAGGAATTTTGTGGCGGCCTTCTTTGCTTTACTTTTTGTAATCATTAGTTTTTTAGTATTGTAACTGGAGTTTTTTTCGGGGGCGGTAATGTGGCCACTCCAATTACACTACATTTATATAATATGAAATACTGAAATACTTTTTGTATTTGTTAGTTTTTTTAGTATTGTAACTGGAGTTTTTTTATCGGGGGCGGTAATGTGGCCGCTCCAATTACACTACATTTATATATATGTAATACTGAAATACTTTTTGTATTCGTGAGTTTTTTTAGTATTGTAACTGGATTTTTTTCGGGGGCGGTAATGTGGCCACTCCAATTACACTACATTTATATATATGTAAAACATTTATATATATGTAATACTGAAATACTTTTTGTATTCGTTAGTTTTTTTAGTATTGTAACTGGAGTTTTATCGGGGGCGGTAATGTGGCCACTCCAATTACACTACATTTATATAATATGAAATACTGAAATACTTTTTGTATTCGTTAGTTTTTTTAGTATTGTAACTGGAGTTTTATCGGGGGTGGTAATGTGGCCACTCCAATTACACTACATTTATATATATGTAAAACATTTATATATATGTAATACTGAAATACTTTTTGTAATCCTTAGTTTTTTAGCATTGTAACTGGAGAGCTTTATCGGGGCGGTAATGTGGCTGCTCCAATTACACTACATTTATTTACTAGTATATATGTAATACTGAAATACTTTTTGTAATCGTAAGTTTTTTAGCATTGTAACTGGAGAGTATTATTGGAGGTAGTAATGTCACAGCTCCAATTTTATCACAATAAACAATTTGATTCAATAAATTCCTTTATGAACAAACATGACTTTGAAAGTGATGATAATATGACTTGTCCACTTTATTTGGTCTCTTACTCTGCAAGTAAAAGCTGCTTTGTGGTATTAATTTCTGCATCCAGCATCTTTACCATAACATGGTTGCTCCTCATGGTCAAAAGGACTACAGTACAACACTGTTACCTTGAACATGCTTACTGGTTCCATGTACAACAAAATCATGTTTACTTCATTTTCAATCTTGTAAGTGAGATGGCATATGGCAAACTATCATTCTTTACATGAAAACTGTAAAGAATCCCAAAGAGTAGTTTTTTAAGGAGTTTGAAATATTTGCATCACAATTTTTAATTTACTGAGAGAAAGTGTCTGTTAAATTTTTGGGAGCAGGTCCCATATGTATTTTATTACAGGTCTGAACTTCACCAAACTTGCAAGGATTGTGCATCTGGGTATACTTATGCACTAAATATACTTGGATGCTGAATCTCAGATGCTGGATGAAGTAAACGTTTTTGGAATAGGTTAAATTTCTTGGAGCAGACATCCTGTGATGGCCATATCATAGTTATTAACTTATTACTGATAGAATTTCTGCTAAACTTGGACAGTTGATGTATCTTGTGATACTTAAAGGTGCTTGGACACAGATTTGAAGTTAATATTTTCTCAAATTTTCTGCATAATTTCATGGCTTGTATGTTGCTAGAGCATTTCATACTAAAATATAATAAAAATATTATTTCATCTCGAAGTTATTGAAACTTCAAATTTCTGGACGTGTTTGATTGACACATCCTTGCACTTTCACAAATTGAGTTTTAGTCTTAATACTTAAGAAAAGTGGCAATTTTGTTGTGTATTAATGAAAAATATTAAAACTATAACCCAGAAAAATTCAGAGTAGAAATGTTCGAAAGCAAAACCCACTCACAGTATTGTCAGTCTGTGCTCAGTGGTGTGTGCAGACTTTAACAATTGAACACACCCGGTGAATCGTAAACATTAAGAATAACAGAGCTCGTGCCCTGTTTACAAAAACAGTTTACGTTTCACGGGTGTATTCAATTTGTTAAACTCTGTACACAACACTGAGCACGGGCTGACGATATTAGTGAGGGGGTTTGCTTTCCCATATTTCTACTCTGAATTTTCTGGATTATAGATGTAATGTTTTTCATTAATACACAAAAATAGCTTCTTTTCTTAAATATTAAGGATAAAAATAAAATTTGTGAAAGTGCAATGATGTGTTAATCAAACGCGTCCAGGAATTCATAGTTCCAATAATTTCCAGATAAAAGAAGTTTTTAATTTTCGTGTGAAATGCTATTGCAATATATATGTCGTGATATTATACAGAAAATTTGAGAAAATATTAACTTCAAATCTGTGTCTAAGCACCTTTAAGAATTGACATATTTGGATGCTGAATCTAAGCCAAAGGTGTCAGATGTTGGATGAGGTTAAAGTTTTTTGGAGCAGGTATACCTGTGTTTAATGCCAAAAGCTCTGACCCAGGGTCATGAATATCACAATTTTCCTTGATTATCCTAACCATACACTCAGTATGACTGCTAGAAGCCAAATAGCAAAAAAAGATAGAGTTTCCTATACATTCATTAAAGGCACGCCCTAAAAGCAGAACTCAGGGGCCAAGAATTTCACAATTTTGGTTGAGACATCCCTGTTCACCACAACAATCTGCTTGGTTTGTCTGTTAATTGTCCAGTAGTAGAGAAGAAGCTGGGGCAATAAATATCACAATTTTAGTAGAGGCACCCCTGCTCATCATAACTATGTGCTTGTTTTGTATGCTGAATGTCCATAAGTAGAGATTTTTGAAACTGCATCAATTTTTACAGGTTTAACCCAAAGTTTCCAATTATATAAATACATTTTTCTCAAAGAAAGTATAACAAACAAGAGGCCCAAGGGCCTTAACGGTCACCCAAGTACAATAATTTAGAGAATCCATAAACTGATAAATGAAGCTTTGTTGCCCCATAGCAAGAAAAATAGTACGATTAAGATCAACAAAATAATTGATCTAGTATCTTTCTATCTGTCCCCCTTTTATCACTATTACCATGAAAATTTTCAAAGAATTCACACATTTTCACTATAAAATCAAATAGAGCCCCCCCCCTCCCCCTCCCCCCGAGAAACAACAGAACCCCTGGAACCACAAGTTTTAAAAATTTTGTAAAAGCATCCTTGCTCATCATAACTATACACTTGTTTTTTGCTTTATAGCCAGGAGTCGAAAAAAATATTTTGAAAGAAATTATGAATTTTTACTACATAATCACCAGAACCCTTGGCCCAGGGGCCATGAATTTCATAATTTTGAAAGAGGCAGTTATGCTCATCATAGCTATATACTTAGTTAATTTATTTAATACCCAGGAGCAGAGAAGAAGATTTTCAAAGATTTAATGCATTTTCACTATATAATCAATAGAGCCCCGCCATAACACCAGAACCCCGGACCCAGGGGCCATGAAATTCACAATTTTAGAAGAGGCAGTCTTTCTAAACATAACTATGTACTTAGTTAGTTTATTTCATACCCAGGAGCAGAGAAGATTTTCAAAGAAATAATGCATTTTCACTATATGATCTATATAGCCCCGCCCTAGCACCAGAACCCCTGACCCTGGGGCTATGAATCTCACAATTTTGATAGAGGGCTCATATCACAATCATGCCAACAGTTTGACTGCTTGATGTCCAGGAGTAAAGAAGGTTTTTAAAGATTGCATCAATTTTGGTGGTTTTAGCCCCACCCCTAAGGCCCCAGGGGGCAGGGACCATGAAATTCACAATTTTTGTCCCCCTTCACCCATATATGCTATATGCCAAAATTGGTTGAGCAGTTTCAGAGAAGAAAATGTTTAAATGTTAACGCACGACGGACGACGACGGACAAAAACAGATAGCAATAAGTCACCTGAGTGACTCAGGTGACCTAAAAATTAAAGGTTTAATTTATTTGCCTTTCACATGTGAATATTTGTTTTTCATTTTTGATATTGGTCTTCTGAATTCATGACATAAAAGGAGTTGAAATTATCATTTTAAAGTCAGTGCCAAGGTTTCCAAAATGCTAAACCAGTGCTCCAGGAACGAGAACTACAGTGGCCAATGTTTTTCATTCAACATACTTATTCATATCCATTTGCACATTCGTAATAAGAAATTCTAAAGAATAGATAAATGATAACACTACTACATAATACAAGAGGCCCAGGGGCCACATCGCTCACTTGAGCACTCTGGCAAGGAAAAAGCAGAAAATTAATCAGTTCAGTATTAGTAAGTATAAATCTGACCAATCACTTTTATGCTGTTCTCAAGGAGAATTTTTAAAAGATTTTTTCCTATGTATTCCTATGTGGAACTTTAATTCCCCTATTGTGGCCCCACCCTACCCTCGGGGGTCATGATTTGAACAAATTTGAATTTACACTACCTCACAATGATTCCACAAAAGTTTCATATTTGTCAAGCACAGTGGTTCTTTATAAGGTTTTTAAATGATGCCATTAATTTTTCAAAAATTTTTAATTATCTCCTTTTGGAAGAAGGCAAGGCCCTTTATTTGAACAAACTTGAATTCGCTTTACCCAGGGATACTTTGTGGCAAGTTTGGATGAAATTGGCCCAGTGGTTCTTGAGAAGATGAAAATGTGAAAAGTTTGCAACAATGACGCCGATGACAATGGAAAAATTTCGATCAGAAAAGCTCACTTGAGCTTTAATTTGGCTCAGGTGAGCTTAAAAACTGTGGACTATTTCATGATTAAAACTTTCAAAGTTAAGAAACAGTGGCAACAAATTATAGAATGCACAAATACATATCGATAAGCATCTATAATACACACTGTCCTTTATAAAATATTAGCAGAGAACATGTTTTTAAAATTTACTATTCCCTCAATAGTCCTGGTTAAATTTTGAAAAAAAAAATCATTTGCATAAGGCTTCTTATAATCAGATTGGTAAATTTTAAAGAAATGTTATCTTGTTAAAGTTGTTCATTATTTATGTACTTGGTATATGATTAAAAACCAAAAGAAAGAAGGGCGAATAGGGCATGTACAAGCAAGCTCACATACTCTATACTCCAACATACCCTTGACTGCTACACATTTTGAATGGCATGTTGTATGCATTGAATACACTAGTAAATAAAAGAGGCAAACCCTAAGAAAACCAAATCTGCACTGCTCGAAATTGTCCTTACTAACTAGTAAGGTTCATGTAATTCTAATCAGTCGTGATGACAAACTGTTTTCGCAGTATTAACGTCAAACAAGAGGCCCATGGGCCACAATGCTCACCTGAGTAACTTTGGCCCTACTGTTCTTCAACAGATTTTCCTCCATGTAATACCTATTGTGGCCCCATCCTACCCTAGGGGAGGGGGGTCATGATTTGAAAAATATAGAATCTACACTACCCAAGGATGCTTCCACATAAATTTCAGCTTTTCTGGCCAAGAGGTTCTTGAGAAGAAGATTTTTAAAGTTTTTTCCTATATATTTCTTTCCATATATTTTAATGCAAACTTGGGATTTCCTATTGTGGCACCACCCTGCCCGGGGGTCATGATTTGAACAATTTAGAGTCTACACTACCCCAGGATCCTTGTATGTGAATTTCAGCTTTTCTGGCCCAGTGGTTCTTGAGAAGATGTTTAAAGATTTTTCCTATAAATTTCAATGTAAAATTTTGATTTCCTATTGTGACCCCACCCTCCTTTGGGGGGGGGGGGGCATGATTTGAACAATTTAAAATCTACACTACCCCAGAATGGGTTCACATACGTTTCAGCTTTTCTGGCCCAGTGGTTCTTGAGAAAAAAAAAAAATTTCAATGACCCCACTCTATTTTTCTCTTTTTTTGATTAACTCCCTTTGTAAGGGGGCTTGGCCCTTATTTTAAAAATTTAAATCCCCTTTACCCAAAGATGCTTTGTACCAACTTTGGTTAAAATTGGCATAGTGGTTCTCGAGAAGAAGTTGAAAATGTGAAAAGTTTACAGACGGACAACAGGAGACCAGAAAAGCTCACTTTAGCTTTCAGTTCAGGTGAGCTAAAAAGTTCAAAAATGGCCAAAATTCCCAGAAAAAAAAAATGGAACCAGATTTTCCTGTATATGTGCTCATCTCCACTTCATGTCTTTAATAACTAAAAAAAAAAACTCATGGAATTTCTTTCAATGGTTTCAGAGTTGCAATGACCAAAAAAAAAGAGGGGTTGTCACATTAGAACATTATACCCCTGCAACTTGTAGAGTGGATTATAAACATAGAATTACCAACATAGCTAATATTACTACCATAAATCTGTTGTCTGTGAAATGTCAATTTCCAACATCTAATTAATTCCAAAGCATACCAAAATTTTAAATAGTGTAATTTTGAAAAACTAAATGCCATTTATTTTATTGAGCAAGTCTGCACTCGATTTTTTTCTCACGGTCTACTTTAATGAAACAAGAACCTATTCTGATAAGCAAAAGCTTAGAGAGATTATAAAGGCAGATGAACAGGCTGATGGACAGAAAAGCCAGTACCATATAATAACGCATGTAAAAGACTAATATAAAAAAAGTGTATGTTACAGTGCTGGTGAAAACATACAAAAAAGGAAGAGAATTATAGGAATATATTACGTATTTATAAATCAGATCAAGAATTCATTACAACCTATTGATAAATGTATTGTTCCAGTATATCTTTTAGTGTTATATACATTGTTTTTGCTTCTAGTTCTGTTGAAGGATGGTAATTGTCACAAATGACATCAAGAGCTTCCTTAGTGTCTTTATCCAGGTCATTTTCAAAGCAGCATTGGTCCTTAAGGAACTGAAACTTTTCATCGTTAACATTGATTTGATGAATGTAATTTCGGCACTGTGGATTGCCTGAAATAAAATGACATAATTATTAAATAACAACATGTTTTTCCATATAAAATACATTTCATACCATACCATACCAATTTCAACTGAACTCCATGTGAAAGTATTATTTTAATACCTCATCAGCAGTGGAAATAAACCCATTCAATAAAATACCAGAGAGAAACTACTGGAGAGAAAGAATGTTGACACTCTATTTTGAAACCCTCATCAAAAGCATGGTACAACAATCTCAACAATTATTTCCACTTTATACACTTGAAAATTAATTTAGTTTTAATGGGAAAACCCCAAAATTATATTAAATTATTTTCATTATTTCATGTCATTTATCAACATTAATTTACATAGTTTTAAATGAGACTGGATGTTTATACAGAAGAATTAAATGAGTAAATCACTGCACACAGAACTTCTCAGTAGAAGTCATAAATGCATAATCATAATATAAATCATAATGCAGTGTTTGAGTGACAGCCTAAAAATCAATGCCTCTATTATCCGCGTATGAAATTTTGTGTCTAAAATTGGCGCCCTTTCCCTTAAATTGTGACCTCTCTCTCTCTTTCTGTGTATGTGTGTGAGAGAGAGAGAGAGGGTGGGTGTGATCTTTGTTGTTGTTCTCCTCTGTCAATGCACTTTTCCCAAACTGTATTGTGCAATTCTTATGTATTCTAAAAAATTACATACATGAAATTAACTGACCTAACATTTCTGGAACATGATAAAGGAGTTCTGGAATCCCAGGAACAACATCGCCTGTTTTTTGCTTCCTGATTCTATGGTAATTCCATGCCAATTTCACCTCCTCCAATTCTTTCCTGATAATTTGCATGTAACAATATTGAACTAATGTTCTGAAATAAAACATGGTTACATTAGTTTTTGGGGCTTCAAAACTAAATGCACTGGTTAAGAAACATTCAATAAAAGATCACGAATTTTCTTTAATGATGAAACCACACCTTCTAGGGTTATAGATTAACATAGTAATTGGGCAAAACCACATAACAACAGAGGATATTCACAAATAAATTTTGACATGGCAAAATACATGTACAGTATATGCATGTACTGTTCACCACAGGTATTCTCTTTGGTCAAAATGGCTAGTATTTAGAATAAGGAATTTGACAATCTAAATACACATACAATTAACTGAATTGGTAAGATACAAGTGTACAATGCCTTGAATAATGTTGCAGTTTGTAACAGCCTGAATATTATACACATTCCATTATTGCAAGCAATCAAGGGTTACCGTTGAAGGTCAATGATTTCTAATGTACACAAATTTCAATGTTACCCCCACTGACATGCAATATTTAAACATTTTCATATGAAAACAGTTGGATTTCTTTGGAAAAAAGGGAGAGAATTGTAAAATATCCAGTTAATGGAAACATTCATGGATGAACAGCCAGCCTACATTGTTGTTGTTTTTCTTCTATGTCAAAAGCAAACTTACATATGCAGTTTTTCCCCGATTGTAAAATGGCCATCCTTTTCCAATTCCTGAAAACAATAACAAATTTTTAAAGAAAAAAAATGGAAAACAAAAAAAAAACAAAAAGAAAACAACATCGGATTTCTTACATAAAATGATAGAAATCTCATATTTAACCTTAAAATGATGTATCCATCGATCTGTACATTTCCCTCGTAAAATACCCCACCATCTCTCAATCCTCTTAAAAAAATAAAAATTGAAAATTAAAGTTAAAAATTAAAGATAATTAAAGAGTTATACTGATAAACTTCATTATAAGTCCACATCCATTTTATTTTTTTTCAAAAGGACAATATTTTCAAGATCAAACTCAGTAATTATCAATATTTAAATATTTTACAGCATGCAAATTCATCTTTTGTGTCTCACAATTACAAAACTTAAACTGTCTGTACATATGAGTAAAACAATATTTAAAAGTATTCTACCTTAAAAAGGAAAACAAAAAATTGAAACCATTTATGAACAAGAGGCCCAAGGGCCTTAACGGTCACCTGAGTATAATACAACAATTTAGAAGTTAAATACACTGATAGATGAAGCATTGTTGCCCTAGCCCCCCCCCCCCCTCCTCAAGAACCCCAAAAACTGAGGCCATATATTTAAAAATTTTGGAAGAGGCATCCTTGATCCTTGTCTATCATAATCATGCACTTAGTTTGTTTAAATAATCTCCAGTAGCAGAGAAGTTTTTCAAAGAATCAATGCATTTTCACTATATAATCAATAGAGCCCTGCCCTAACACCAGAACCCCTGACCCTGGGGCCATGAAATTCACAATTTTTGAAAAGGCATCCTTATGCGTTTAAATAGTCTCCAGTAGCAGAGAAGAAGATTTTCAAAGAATCAATGCATTTTCACTATATAATCAATACAGCCCCACCTTAACACCAGAACCCCTGACCCTGGGGCCATGAAATTCACAATTTTTGAAAAGGCATCCTTATGCATCATAACCATGCACTTAGTTTGTTTAAATAATACCCAGGAGCAGAGAAGAAGATTTTCAAAAAATTAAAGCATTTTTACTATATAATCAATAGAGCCCCGCCCTAACACCAGAACCCCTGACCCAGGGGCCATGGCTTTCACAATTCTGGAAGAGGCCCACCTCCTCATCATAACTACGTACTTAGTTACTTTATTAAATACCCAGGAGCAAAGAAGAAGATTTTCGAAGAATTAATGCATTTTCACTATATAATCAATACAGCCCCGCCCTAACACCAGAACCCCTGACCCTGGGGCCATGAATTTCACAATTTTGGAAGAGACAGTCTTGCTCATCATAACTATGTACTTAGTTCCTTTATTTAATACCCAGGAGCAGAGAAGAAGATTTTCAAAGAATTAATGCACTTTCACTATATGATCTATATAGCCCCACCCTGGGGCCAGAACCCCTGACCCTGGGGCCATGAATTTCACAATTTTGGAAGAGGCACTCTTGCTCATCATAACTATGTACTTAGTTCCTTTATTTAATACCCAGGAGCAGAGAAGAAGATTTTCAAAGAATTAATGCATTTTCACTATATAATCAATACAGCCCCGCCCTAACACCAGAACCCCTGACCCTGGGGCCATGAATTTCACAATTTTGGAAGAGGCACTCTTGCTCATCATAACTATGTACTTAGTAACTTTATTTAATACCCAGGAGCAGAGAAGAAGATTTTCAAAGAATTTATGCACTTTCACTATATGATCTATATAGCCCCACCCTGGGGCCAGAACCCCTAACCCTGGGGCCATGAATTTCACAATTTTGGTAGAGGGCTCAATGCTTATTACAATGATGCCAACAGTTTGACTGCTTCATGTCCGGGAGTAAAGAAGAAGATTTTTAAAGATTGCATTATTTTTGGTGGTTTTAGCCCCACCCCTCAGGCCCCCGGGGGGCAGGGACCATGAAATTCACAATTTTTGTTTCCCTTCACCCATAGATGCTATATACCAAATTTGGTTGAAATTGGTTGAGCGGTTCTAGAGAAGAAGTTAAAAATGTTCAAAAGTTAACGCACGACGGACGACGCACGACGACGGACAAAAACAGATAGCAATAGGTCACCTGAGTGACTCAGGTGACCTAAAAATAAAACCAAACCTTAATACTTGAATCAGAAAATTTGGCCCAGAACGCTCCTGACACACAGAGAGAATAATGTTTACTGTGATACAGACTCAATAAACAAAAACTAAATCTATGAACTCAGACAGACTATTAATGAAAAACTTGCTGCCTTCCTTTGCACATTCCTTTCATGACAAACTTTAGGATAATTGTATTTAATTTTAAATAACCTCTGACCCTGCATCATAACTTTTACATTTTTCCTTGCTTCTCCTACCCATACAGTCACTTAGTTTCCCTGCTGGGTGCCTAGTAGTAGAGAGGATTATAAATGCAGCTTCATTTCATTTCCACCCTATAGCCAGAATCTTTGACTGTAGGACCGTAACTATAAATATTTTTGGTAGATGCTTCCATGATCATTCTAAACATACACTCAGATTGGATGGTATGTGGCAAATAGTAAAGATTTACAAATAGTTAATGCACATTCACTACTAGTATATGACCCTAACACCAGAACCCCTGACTCTGGGGCAATAAATTTCACCACTTTGATAGAGACTCCCTTCCTTATCCTATCTATGTACTTAATTTGCCCAATAGATACCAAGAAGTGGAGAAGAATATAATAATTTTTATATTCACTATATGACCAATGTGCCCCACCCAAACACACAAACCCCCATTCCTGGGGCCAAAATTTCAGACTTTAATTAGAGGCCTCCTTGTTCATCATAACAATGTAGTAGTTTCTCTGCTAGATGCCATGGAGTAGAGAAGAAGATTTAAAATCATGCATCAATTTCTACAACTTTTTATCCAAAATCTCAGCTCCATTGGGGTTGGAGATAATGAATTCCAGAACTTATATTCCTTTTCCTCTATAGATGTTACCCACCAACTCTAGTGGAGATTGGCTCAATAATTACAGAGGATAAGTTCAGCATGTAAAAATTGATAATGGACAACAGACAAAGACCAATGGCAATAGGTCACCTAAGTGAATCAGATGACCTAAAAATGCAAGAAAGACATGGGTATATTTTGAAAGAAAAATCTATAAACCTGATTATGTGTTGATTTGCCATAAATAAAGGCTTTTTTGCAGAAAGAATCTTCATCATCTTCTCTTAAGAAGTTCTGGATGGCTGCTACAGTCCCATTCTCTGTTCCTTTTTAATAAAAAGTAAAGTATCATTTTTTTAAGGAATTATTTCACATTTATCTTAAATAAAAGGCTGCTGTGTCAGGGACCCTTTCACAAAATGGTGTAGACTTTGGCTTAATTTATTCTGACTCAGGTAAGTGAATATTCATACAGGCCTCAGTTGCGTTTCTGAAAGCGACTCGTTTGGGTTTCAATGCCTTAAACTGTGTTCCTCTCTGCTGAATACAAACCTTGCATACATCATACTTTATTTTGTTTGGAGGCTATGATTATATGTGAGAATTCAATTTTCCAAATTAAGGTACCTTTACACATGGTAAATATATAATAAAATGTGTATATCATTATGTTGGTTCAGTATATATATATACATGATAGTAAAATTCAATTCATTCCTTTTTTTTAATTAAGTGATACATTTTCAGAGAAAACACAGAGGATCCCCAAACAGAAGTGGAGGTTGAAAAAACAAAGTACTGTAATAGCACTTGAACACATTGCAGCAGAAAAGGAAGCACAATTAAGGAAACAATGCATAAAAATGATTTTCACTGGTTATGTTATATTGAATTTATTATTGAATTGATAGCACGGTTTTGACCCTCACAATGTAGGTTTATCAGGGGAGTGTCAGTTTTGACAACCTGGGACAAACCTTAGCACTACACCTAATCAAGACAGTTTGTTGCACAAAAGCATGAAACAAAATTAACCAAATGTTTGTGCTGCAAAGTTTAAAACAGCAGAAGGCAATATTTATTAAATCAGAAATCTAAATATATAAATGAAATAAAACTAACCTGCATCACCCCTTACAATATGTGGATATCCTGAAAAAAAGAGGTAAATGATCATTTTGTTTTAAAAATCATCAAACATTTCAATAAAATTGGAAAGGTCATCTTTATCATAACAATATGAAACACAAATGAGTATTTATCTGCTTTTACTTATAAACTTTTGAAAGAAATTCCATTAGCACTTACAATTACATTCCATTTTTTTTAGGAGAACATTAAAGCATTACCATTAACTTGTTCTAATGTGTTTATAAAATATGCTGCAATTTTCTTTGGGTTTTTATTACTGATTCCTGCTTCGCACCAAAGCACGTAGCGAGAAAACCTAATAAGAAAAGGAAATTAATGAACATTTATCTAAAAATCCTGAAGTGGTTCAAAAGTTAATCTGAGAAAATTACAATCACTTGTTGTATACAAGATTCATAGTGTTTCATAAATGTTTTCCTAAAACAAAAGGCTTTAAAAAAAAAACAGTTTACCCATCAATACAGCCACAGATGTGTATTCCGTATGGACTCAACTTATCATACTGGTCTAGAAAAAGAAGATTTATCCCACATTAATATTTCTTGAAATACTGTTTAACATAGATCACAGGCTACAGGTTGCCACTGCAGTTTTCTTTTTTTAAAGTTCTTTTATCTTTATATATAGAAAGATAAATTAGCAAGCCAATTGGCCACTTCTTGTCTGGCCTCTCCACCATAACAAACAATGTTATGTGCCTGCTTGCTTAAGGATACAAGATATTTAAGGAATCACTGTCTAGTTAGTAGAGTATGCCAGGGCATCAACGATAGTGGGAAACGTGGGATAATTTGCATAATGGGCGAAGCCCGTTATGCATAAATTATCCCACGTTTCCCACTATCGTTGATGTCCCTGGCATACTCTACTAACTAGACAGTGATTCCTTATATTTCCATTTCATAGTGAAATAAGATTGTGAATTTAGATTTTAAAAGTGTAGACTAATAGATTTGAATTACACGAGGCCTCACATGTCAATTTCAATAGTCCCCGCCCACTAACGTCAAACACAAAGACAGTCGCACGAGAATTACATGCATATTAGGCCTTCTTACCTCCTGACCTTTCGCTTGGTGAAATTTGCATTCCGGTGGAATCATCAAGAAATCAACTCTCCTAACTTTCAGAGTTATCACAGAGAAAACAAATAGAAATGGAAATATTTATCTTTTTACCCTTAAAAATAAGTAGCATCTACCTGCATATATATCAATCATTTTCATCTATAATTAAGGATGAGCATATGTTTCAGTATACCATTGTTAATTGACAAAAGTATCATCTTAGACCATCTTTGTCTCAGAGGGCTTTCATCATGTACACTGTGCAATCCAGCCAACTAATATAATTAATTTACAATGACCATCAATCATGCATCCAGAGATCAAAAATTACAATCCTCCATCTTCAATACAGCCAAACACGAAATATCCTTAATGTTTACTTTTAAGGCACTTGATCAACATGTATGTTTAAGAAAATAGGTTGGGTGAGGGGGAAAGAGAGAAAAAAAATAAGAAAAACTGTCTTGGGCTAATTTGATATTTACCTATATGCCATATCCAATTTGGACCTAAAAAACAAAATGGCAAGACTTTGAAATCACATCGACTACATAAAACCCCTCCATTTAATGTTGTATAGTCATATGCTTAAAAAAACTAAAAATCAGAACTTGTCTCCCTTACATTTACCATAAAGAAAATGTTCAAAGCATAATAAAGTGCACAAACACACACACAAGACATATACCTACCCTCCCTCACACACCCTATCTCTCACACACACACATGTAGTTAAATTTAACCTTTACTGAGGTACTGCCTTCTTTTAAGTTTATTGCCTTTCCTTCTGGACATTCCTTTAGGGTCTAAAGTGGTCATTATTTCTCGTACCAGTTTTCTGAAAGTCCAAATATTTTAAAGTGGATACATTTATTATCATTAAATAACTTATTTAACATATGCAGATAGTATAATACCCCATCCCCTCCATCCACACTATCCTGTTTGTACTTGCACCTTAAACTTAATGAATAGCAAGCATTCTGAGAGTACTGCACAAGCAAGAAAATTCTGATGAGAATACATGTATTTGTAAATTTGTTTTCATCTAGAATTATTCTGAGAATTAAACCATACAGAAATTTCCTTCTCTATTGGAGGAAGGTCTTAGTTCCTAAGGAATGAAACTACACATAGTTTCATGCAAACTGCCTTTTTTTTCATTTGCACATTCTATCAGTTATTTTGAAATTATATAATATATGAGGACTGATGTGAACTGTGGAAACGACAAAGAAGGAAAAGGTCTTTTCAAATATCTTCACTATAATTTAAACCATTATAATAATGTAAGAATAACACAAATGCCTAAATGTATACCTGGTAATTGGAAAATGTGTACTGCATGTGCATTACCTGGTCGTACTGTGCGAACACATAAAAATCCAATTTAATTAGAAAGAAAATAATTATTTCACTTAATGTTTTCTCAAGAATAAATTCCTTGAATTCATTGAATTGCAATATTGAATATAAATTTTAAATGATCATGAGCATCATGTCTATTTGAAGGATAAACCTGATTGGGAAAATGAGAAGTTCCAAATACATGTAAATAACTTCATCATATGTTTCTCATTAGGTAGTGACACATCAAGTTTCAAACCAATTATCCACACCATGTCAAGTAAAAATTGTGGAAAAACAAATTAGGGATTAAAAACAGCTAGTATGTATGTAAACAACAAATATAAATTACCTTCTAACAATGTATCCATAAATAAATCTCAATCTAAAGAACACATCGGATACACTTCTATCTGGCTTTAGAGACATTTCAAGCTGCAATTAAAATCTGTGAAATTATTTCATAAAAATTGATTTTTTTCATTTTAAAAGGTAAAATAATGCTTTGAAGTGACTAAATTTTAATAATTTAATAATATTTAATTGCAGTTCCATAACTAATCACAAAATTTTCTAAATAAAATTACTGAAAATGATTTAACTTTTACCTGCTTTTACTAAGCAATTCAAGAATTCAAAGAAAAAATACACGTCATTCAAGCATCAAACTTATTTGTTGGGGGGAGGGGGGTTATGATAAATACTGTATATTATTCATGCCAAAGTAAATGTTTACGAAATAATCAATATTTACAAATTACAGACCATGTACTATCATATATTAGCATGCATATAATGAAAGTTAACAAATTGCTATAAGACATAAAAGTTACCAGTATAGCTTGTAAAATATCATCAAAATTTGTAAGTTGCGCAGATCCTCTCCTGTTGTTTAAGTGTAACTTGGGAATAACTTTCCTCTTTAGATACTCAACACTGTAATAAAAATGATCCAACAGGAACAGATCTTTTAATTTTAATACACTGTAATACATGAACAATATTATAATCCATTCAAAATTTCCTGAAATTTATTTATTTATTGGCATGGTTTTTTTTTATCAAATATAAAGGATCTGCATGTAATTCAGTGTTGAAACAATTCAATATTATATTAAAATGGTTTAATTCCTTCATGCAAAACATTTCTTGCATAACTACATTTAGAAATTCAACAAATATTTCAAATTGTACTTGTCCAAAAATATATTAAAAGTAGAAAGTCTGGGAAAAGAATTACCTGTAATGTTGATTATGTTTTGTTTTCAATAAAATGGCAATTTCTTTATGTGGCAAACCAAGTCTATGATAAAACTCAATATACGATTTTAAATCTGCAATAAATTGTACATAAAATTATTGGTAAGTTCTTAAATTGCTGTTTGTTGTTTATATACATGTATATAGTTAATACCACATTTTTCTCTTAAGAATTCAACATGGCATAATCATTAATTGGTAATGAAATATTATAAAGGAAAACAATAGTTTCAAAATGTTACCTTCATTCATTGTCAATATTTTCTTATTTCTAATATGAAACTTAGAGAGAAGATCCTGAAAAAAAAAAAAAAAAAAAACTTTAAAAGAGCTGTACATCAGTTGACAGTTTTTGCATCAAATGCAGCAGATATCTATATTCAGATGCACACTGATAAACCAACTGCATTTCAAGAAAATATATATATATATATATATATATATATATATATATATATATATATATATATATATAAATTAAACTTCCATGTAAATTAGTTGAATCTGATTCGTCGAGAAACATCTGTTAAAAAACACCATTGCCCGCTGAATAATGAAGCCACGCCCTCCAGCGCAGCAAGTCAACATTGCTTGACAACGGGTGATATTCCAAAAAATATGGACTGCTCAGAATTTATGCTTGCAAGGTTTAATGTAATATGTATGTGTATAAAACATTCAGTATAATATAATAAATATTGCCTGTAGTTGAGTGTAACATTAAAAATTTTCACCCCTCGAAAACCACCATCAACCTCGGCTGCGCCTCGGTCGAAAATGGTTTTCTTGGGGTGAAAATTTTCAATGTTACACTCAACTACATGCAACATTTATATAATAACCAATTTCAAGTCCTACACAAACCATATTCATTAAGATAATATTTTTAATGACACACAAATATTACAGGGCACAAACACAATTACAACAAGACCACAGTCAAGCTAAGCATTCTCTCATGCAAAAATTTAGAAATGTTGTTCAAATGTGTTCTATATATTTTCTAATATAAACCTACTAAAAAGCAAAAACATTTCTCTCTTTTTGAAATTTTGAACTGGTTAAGAGGTCACATTTTTTAGGTCACAATGATCATCAGACAAGCTTATTGATTGACTGATACATTGTTACTTAAAACACTGTTCATACTTTTGAAAGTTATAAACTGCAATGTTAAAATTTCATCGGGATATGAAATTTGTTGTTATATGAACAAATCTTCTGAGAAGACCTTCATGTTTCACAGGATTTGACCGACCAAGTTTATATCTCAGTGAACTTTTTAATAATTGTATTTATTTATTATGTGAATAAAGTTAAATCATTGGTTCTTTGTGTTCGCTTGTTAACTCAGACATATATACCCAATATCTGACATCTTAAATAATTCACCCATAACTTTGGATATGAATAGGGCTTGACTTATAAGATTGCTAAAGAGGTATACAAAGTGAAATGATTTTAAGTGCTGGGATTTTTTTTAAATTTTGCCAACAAGCATTTTGTATGCTTGTAATACATAAGTAACACACCCATATACAGTTGAACTTTGATATCTCGAACTCCGATATCTCGAATACCATGGATATGTCGAAGTGATGTGGAAGTCCTAACCACATGTTCTTTAAGTATTTCATCCTTGATATCTCGAATCCTCGGATATCTCGAATTTTGTTCTCAGGCTCATCAGGTTCGAGATAACGAAGTTTGACAGTACATACAATCAGCAATGATTCCATTGCAATGAAATAATAATAATTTGCATTATGAAAGACACAATGATATTTACAATAAATTTAATAACAAATGTAATGGAAGTTACTTGTTATGCAAAAGGAGCGGCCAAATTACCACCCCCGATAAAATATTCCAGTTAACGATACTAAAATCCAAATGATTACAAAAAGTATTTCAATGCTGCAGATATATAAGTAATAATTGTAATGTAAATGGAGCGGCCACATTACCGCCCCGATAAAACACTCCAATTACAACACTAAACTGTTCATGAATACAAAATGTTTTTCAATGTTACATGTCTATAAATGTAATGCAAATATAATGCAGCAGCCACATTACTGCCCCCAATAAAACAATATAAACATTTAAAACTGTTACTAGAGGAATACATATTTCAAAGGTACCGGTATATACATGAAGAGGGATTTTTTTTTTTTACGTCTGTTACAAACAGGGTTTATATGATTTGCGTTTATATGCAATATCAATGCACAAATTTGCTGTAGTTATCAATGCAAAATAATGCCTTTTATTTGTCCTCTTCTTGAGTTTGTGAGACTACAAATACTGTCGGAAAAAGTTACTGTGACAGTTTTATTTACCTCAAAGATTGTTTGAACAGTTGTTAATCCATCTATACCAAAATATACATCACATCCAGACATGTGCACAGCAACTGTATACAACTTGTCTTTTTCTAAAGTAACACTGTTTGCAAAAATAAATGAAAATTCACACTCCTCAGTCAACTCTTCACGTATTTTTTCCTTAAGGAGAATATTTTCATCACAAGATAATGACACTTCAACTAGAAGTGAGACATTGTAGTTTCCATACAAAATGATGCCATGAAATTGTATATTTCTATTTACAGAAAACACAAGTCTATCACCATTCAATTCATCACATTTCCAAGTATTGCTTGGACTTTTTGAAAAAAATCTAATGATCCTAATGTCCTCCTCTGACACACAAGCACGAGATTGAAAAGCTGGACCAACTGTGTCCTTACAAACACTCAATGAATTCAAATACAACATAACTTTCATTGCAAAATCATCACTAATTATGTTTCTATAAACAACATTTTCAATAAAAAAAGTAGCAGACATTCTACCAAACCTGATATTTGGAACAATTTTCCTCCAAGTTTCTGAAACGTTTCTGCATTCTGAATTCATCCACTTTACTATCAACAAAAATAACTTCTCTTCATGAATACATAATGTATTTCGTTCAAGCAGCAAATTAATCAAATCTACAGGATACTGAAAAAACATTTCATTTGCAGGACTATTTGATAAAATGTCTCTGGCAAATTTGTCAATGTATAACAATGATGATAGCACAACATTTTTCAAACCAAATTTGTGTGCAATATGTAAAACAAGCAAAGCTTTATCAAAACATATGGATTGCTGAAGAAAATCTAAACATTTCTCAGACAAATCTGAAACCATGTAAAATTGAGCTGCCTGTAACATATCTTCAACATTCTCAAAAGATAAATCAATCTCATGTTGGTACAGAAATTCTATCACAGATCTTGTTTGTGAAGGCAAGAAATCATGGCAAATAACTGTCCTTTTTGATTGCTTGGGGTCCCAGTTTTCATTTAAACATGTTCTAAACCAATCGCTGCCCAATATGAGCACTGTCCTGTGTGCACCCATGATACTTCCATCTGATAAGGAAATTTCTAAATCACACAGCTCTTGCTGATGGAAGGCTTTAACAAGTTTTTCACCAAGTCTTGCCATTACAGCTGTGATAAAAGTCAAGATATTCCTTTAGTCTAAATAAATGTCATTTGTTTTTGTATGTCTGTTTCGAGCAGTAGTTATAACTCTGTGTGTGTGTGTGTGTGGGGGGGGGGGGGGGGGGGGAGGGAGGGTGTGTTTGTGTGTGTTATTGGACAGTTCTTTGGCAATAGAATGCCAAACTGAAAATACCATATTTAGAATGAAATGAGATGTGACAAACATTGGAGTTTTTTGTTTAATGGTGTACACTTAAATAACTTGCTAATAAAAAAGTTTGAGTCAACCATGACATTTTCAAAAAAAAAAAAGACCTGTGTATAAAACAAAAACAAGGCCCAAGCCTTGTTTACATAACTAACAATTGTGATCACTGCTTCTTGCTTGTAACTTGCAACTTACTTTTGAATTTAGGTTGACCATTAGTCTAGAAATACCAATATCAATACTTAAAAGAAAGGAAAAATAACATTTTAATACTTCCACTTCAAATCGCAATCAGGCCCCTTTCAGTTGTTCCATCAGCACATGTTTTCTCTTTTTCAAAATACTGAGGCATTTACCTGTCTCAATTTGTCATTGAGCAAATATGTTACCAGTTCTATAAATACTGTATTTATTGCAGAGTTAGATCTGCAAATTTTTCAAATAATCTTCTACCTTCATAACATGAATTCTTGCAATTTTTCAAAGCACACCAATATTTCGCTCACATTTTAGAATTTCAAGAACTAGGTCAAAAAAAAAAGATAGTATTCTGAAATGAACTGTAGAGGGGTATATTTACTTACTACTAAGTTCCCCATGTACATGCATTAACAGTATTTGTGACTGACCTCCAGTATTAATGTAATGTACTCCTCATCAAGGCCTCAAGTAGGTTTCTTCGCAAAGTTTGCTAAATGGATCCTCTATGAAGCTAAAAGTACATGTATATATTTATATATGGTAATTAAGTGGTTACAAGAAGCAAGATCATTGTTTAAATGCTGGACAAAAAAATTAAATAATTTTCTTTAACCAGACCCTCACCCCATATCTCTCAATTGAACTGTAATGTGATGACTGTTGATTTAAATTTAATTATCAAAAACTTTATATTTGCTCATTTGTAATTGTTCACTTAAAATAATATTTATTTCTTTTGTTTATTCATTAAGAGAATCAATTACAAATAAAGTCCCATGTACAATGTGCAATTTTCTGGCTCTACCCCCCCCCCCCTCCTACAACAACTTTATGATTTTCAAAATATATGACATCTCATCTCTTCTAAGTTACTCACCCCCTCCCCCCACCAATAACTTTATGAATTTCAAAATACATCTGTCAACATCTCATCTCTAAGTGAGAATTTACCAAAACAAAATTGGAGAGAAACTTAATGTTGTTTTACTTCAGAGGTTCTTATGACAACTGTCAAAAATATACAATGCACATGCATTTCTTTCTAAAATCAACTTTGTTCTTTCAAAAAATTCAAAACATGCAGATATTAATGAATGGGGTATTACAAATCACTTCCTACATCTTGATTGCAAAATATTTAAATAACAAGTTTAAAATAGATGTTTGGTTTTGACATAGTCTCTAAAAAGGAAAGAAAAAATAATACCGTATAACGGGTATTTTCTGCGGTTGGAAATTTTTGCGATTTAACCCCTAAAAGGTAGCAAATTAATTTCTGCGTTTTCAATTTTTGCGGTTGCATTATACCGCAAAAATTTATTTACGGGGTATGATCACTAAACTTTATGAATTATCAGAACCCTGCCATGTTTACGTTTTATAAATTCATTAAGACATATTGATCAAAGGTGCATGAGAACTAGTCTTTGTAAAAATATGTCGAGTCCCAATTGAAATAAATTAATGCAGCATCAGTCCCCCGAAGCAACAATAAAAATCTTTATTCTAACAGACGTCTTATGCGATCTATAAAAATATTTAAATATATAGCTAATGATAATAAATGCATCCAAGCCATATTCTAAAATACACTTATAGTTAATTACTATCAAAATTAATTTGGTGTTTGTATTTTAAGCTTAAACAAACATTGCATAATTTAGTATAATTCTAAAGTTGACGGTTAAGAATCACAGGTACCATGTGCATCGAGGCGTAACTAATCCTGTCAGTCGTCTGCATTGGATGACATTCACGAGACAATCAAGCCGCATTGTGTATACAAGCGGTAATTATTGTCTCAAGATCAAACACAAGATTGAAAAAGGTGTTTTAAAAAAAGCTACCTCGTGTTGTTTGCAGCTATCGGAGTTTATACTAATAATTGCATATACAGTGTAGGTACAAGAAAAGATATTTATTCAATTGATATTATTTACAGGAAGATTTCGATTCCATATATTTTGAACAAATCCCGACATCTAAAATCGAATTTCGATGACACCCGAATTTTTTAAAAACCTTGCGTTCCAGATATTTTTTCTGCGTCTGGAACGCAGGTTCTTGCGTTAATGAGAACCTGTCAGACATACGCACCACTTATCATAATTGCATGTATAAAATATCTGAATAAATATTGAAAAATATTTTGCGATTGTAATTTTTGCGGATTTGTCCTATCCGCAAAATTCCGCAAAAATTGGACAACGGCAGAAAATACCCGTTATACGGTATATATACATAGAAGGATGAAGCCTCCCCCCATCCCGTGCACACTCACCCCCAATTCACCACAAAGTTCTATATTTGAATGAGAGTTAATTTTTTTTATGTATTGTAAAACAACTTGATTCTAAATGTCACATAAAATACCATATGCCTTCATGTTCAAAACTGCATATAAAATAAAAGAGTCTGTGCATTTATTTTAATTGTATACAATTTATAATTTGAATTTCCTTGATGAAAAACTGCAGAATGCCTTTGAGTGTTGGAATGCTGTTCATACAATTTATTCAAAGGAAAAATCACATAAAATAAATATTTACAACATCAAACTAAGGTATTCATTAAGATTTACAAGGGAAAAATCACCTATACTTACCTAGTTAGAATAATCTAACTGTGTCTCGGGACAAGCCCTCACCACAGTTAGAATACGTCCCATATACTTGCAATGTAGCAAATCGGAGTGGATCCACTCCGAAATGATTTTGAAGAATACAAAAGGAGTTGCACTGAAAATAACTACCAAATTAATCATAACAAACCTTTTTGAGATTGTATATGCCTTTTAACCTAAATAATAATCCATATAAATACGAAAATTCAACTCATTTTCTCAACGTTTTTTCCTCGCTTCAAATTTAACGCCATGTTGACATTCGGAACTCTCTGGATTGTTCATAGAAAATGCACAGAGTTCGAGTTATCGCCCGTGTTTATTTTGCTACATTGCGAATACACGGAATGAATTCTATCGTTAAACCGGGTCCGTAGGACAATATCGTTTTAACGATAGAACATTCTATCTAATACTTACCTTACAAACCGGGAGGCTGGAACCTAATACACATTTTAGCGGTACTGTTTTTCAATGTTAGGGAAGCAGTTATATATTACGATACTAAAGTGAATGTTATTTTTTGAATAGCTTAATAAAGCTATATGTAGCTTTTTCTTGCTATACACCTAAAACAAGAAATAGTGCTGCTTGATTCTGGTTTATATCATTCGTGAACATTTAGAAATCATCAACCCTAAAAGACATACAGTCTCTATAATATTTTATAAATCTATTGGTATAAAAAAAAATGACTTTAAGAGAAAATAAGATTAATAGTTATGAATGTTAATTGAGATTCAACATGTTCAATACAAAATGAAGATTTCACTCGAATTTCCTCGATCATGAGAGACTCGCTTCAGTTTTGGGAGAAAGTAAAATAACTGCACAAACTCAGGTATAACTTACATCAAAAAACAAGAATTCTTCTCATTTAATGAGAGTTAGTTACATTAAAACAAACAACAAAGAATATTATTGATATATTACTTACATCAAACGTAATGATCACGACTCAGACCTACATCAATTTGAATGTAATGACCACACCGCATCCGCGTCCTTAGAAATCTTGGCCAAATCTCGATCTCTTGAAATCTTGGCCGGCCAAATCTCGATCTTTTGAAATCTTGGCCGTTCATCTCGTAGAAGCTTGGGAATTAATGATCGAGGTCACCCGAAATCTTGGCAATGTACAGGGTCGAGGGTGTACATGGCCAGGGTTATCATGGCCAGGCCTATACGGCCAGGGTACGCGAGCAAAATGGCCAGGCTAGGCTATGTATGGTAGAGGGTTATGGGGAACATGGCCACGCCAAGACATTATTATGCAAGACCAGGTTGAACATGGCCAGCCAGGATAGCTAATCGTCGAATGCAAGATGCATGATAATATACATGGCCAGGGTGAAGATGGCCAGGCCATGTTTAGAAGCGTGGGATAGGCATGGTGCGAACATGGCTAGGCCAGGGTAGTACATGGCCGGGCTAGGCTGTGTATGGTCGGGGTAAACATGACTAGATGGGATGGCCATGCTGCAAACATGGATCGGCCAGGTTGTATACGGCTAGGCCATGATGATAAAGCGTGGGGTGTCCATGATGCAAACATGGGAAGGCCAGGGTAGAAATCATGGGTGGCCAGGGTTAAAACTATAGATTATATAGACCCTGACCCTGGGGGTCCCCTATGGCTTCAAAGATGGGAAGGCCAGGGTAGAAATCATGGGTGGCCAGGGTTAAAACTATAGATTATATAGACCCTGACCCTGGGGGTCCCCTATGGCTTTCCATAGGAAAGGGCCGATATTCGGACGTAAAATGGGTGTAGAAAAATCACTGCATGCCTATCCCACGCTTCTAAACATGGCCTGGCCATCTTCACCCTGGCCATGTATATTATCATGCATCTTGCATTCGACGATTAGCTATCCTGGCTGGCCATGTTCAACCTGGTCTTGCATAATAATGTCTTGGCGTGGCCATGTTCCCCATAACCCTCTACCATACATAGCCTAGCCTGGCCATTTTGCTCGCGTACCCTGGCCGTATAGGCCTGGCCATGATAACCCTGGCCATGTACACCCTCGACCCTGTACATTGCCAAGATTTCGGGTGACCTCGATCATTAATTCCCAAGCTTCTACGAGATGAACAGCCAAGATTTCAAGAGATCGAGATTTGGCCAAGATTTCTAAGGACGCGGATGCGGTGTGGTCATTACATTCAAATTGATGTAGGTCTGAGTCGTGATCATTACGTTTGATGTAAGTAATATATCAATAATATTCTTTGTTGTTTGTTTTAATGTAACTAACTCTCATTAAATGAGAAGAATTCTTGTTTTTTGATGTAAGTTATACCTGAGTTTGTGCAGTTATTTTACTTTCTCCCAAAACTGAAGCGAGTCTCTCATGATCGAGGAAATTCGAGTGAAATCTTCATTTTGTATTGAACATGTTGAATCTCAATTAACATTCATAACTATTAATCTTATTTTCTCTTAAAGTCATTTTTTTTTATACCGATAGATTTATAAAATATTATAGAGACTATATGTCTTTTAGGGTTGATGATTTCTAAATGTTCACGAATGATATACACCAGAATCAAGCAGCACTATTTCTTGTTTTAGGTGTATAGCAAGAAAAAGCTACATATAGCTTTATCAAGCTTTATAGCTTTATTAAGCTATTCAAAAAATAACATTCACTTTAGTATCGTAATATATAACTGCTTCCCTAACATTGAAAAACAGTACCGCTAAAATGTGTATTAGGTTCCAGCCTCCCGGTTTGTAAGGTAAGTATAGTTGATTTTTCCCTTGTAAATCTTAATGAATACCTTAGTTTGATGTTGTACATATTTATTTTATGTGATTTTTCCTTTGAATAAATTGTATGAACAGCATTCCAACACTCAAAGGCATTCTGCAGTTTTTTTATCAAGGAAATTCGAATTATAAATTGTATACAATTAAAATAAATGCGCAGACTCTTTTATTTTATATGCAATTTTGAACATGAAGGCATATGGTATTTTATGTGACATTTAGAATCAAGTTGTTTTACAATACATAAAAAAAAAATTAACTCTCATTCAAATATAGAACTTTGTGGTGAATTGGGGGTGAGTGTGCACGGGATGGGGGGAGGCTTCATCCTTCTATGTATATATATTATTTTTTCTTTCCTTTTTAGAGACTATGTCAAAACCAAACATCTATTTTAAACTTATTTAAATATTTTGCAATCAAGATGTAGGAAGTGATTTGTAATACCCCATTCATTAATATCTGCATGTTTTGAATTTTTTGAAAGAACAAAGTTGATTTTAGAAAGAAATGCATGTGCATTGTATATTTTTGACAGTTGTCATAAGAACCTCTGAAGTAAAACAACATAAAGTTTCTCTCCAATTTTGTTTTGGTAAATTCTCACTTAAAGATGAGATGTTGACAGATGTATTTTGAAATTCATAAAGTTATTGGTGGGGGGAGGGGGTGAGTAACTTAGAAGAGATGAGCTGTCATATATTTTGAAAATCATAAAGTTGTTGTAGGAGGGGGGGGGGGGGGTAGAGACAGAAAATTGCACATTGTACATGGGACTTTATTTGTAATTGATTCTCTTAATGAATAAACAAAAGAAATAAATATTATTTTAAGTGAACAATTACAAATGAGCAAATATAAAGTTTTTGATAATTAAATTTAAATCAACAGTCATCACATTACAGTTCAATTGAGAGATATGGGGTGAGGGTCTGGTTAAAGAAAATTATTTAATTTTTTTGTCCAGCATTTAAACAATGATCTTGCTTCTTGTAACCACTTAATTACCATATATAAATATATACATGTACTTTTAGCTTCATAGAGGATCCATTTAGCAAACTTTGCGAAGAAACCTACTTGAGGCCTTGATGAGGAGTACATTACCTTAATACTGGAGGTCAGTCACAAATACTGTTAATGCATGTACATGGGGAACTTAGTATTAAGTAAATATACCCCTCTACAGTTCATTTCAGAATACTATCTTTTTTTTTGACCTAGTTCTTGAAATTCTAAAATGTGAGCGAAATATTGGTGTGCTTTGAAAAATTGCAAGAATTCATGTTATGAAGGTAGAAGATTATTTGAAAAATTTGCAGATCTAACTCTGCAATAAATACAGTATTTATAGAACTGGTAACATATTTGCTCAATGACAAATTGAGACAGGTAAATGCCTCAGTATTTTGAAAAAGAGAAGACATGTGCTGACGGAACAACTGAAAGGGGCCTGATTGCGATTTGAAGTGGAAGTATTAAAATGTTATTTTTCCTTTCTTTTAAGTATTGATATTGGTATTTCTAGACTAATGGTCAACCTAAATTCAAAAGTAAGTTGCAAGTTACAAGCAAGAAGCAGTGATCACAATTGTTAGTTATGTAAACAAGGCTTGGGCCTTGTTTTTGTTTTATACACAGGTCTTTTTTTTTTTTTTTGAAAATGTCATGGTTGACTAAAACTTTTTTATTAGCAAGTTATTTAAGTGTACACCATTAAACAAAAAACTCCAATGTTTGTCACATCTCATTTCATTCTAAATATGGTATTTTCAGTTTGGCATTCTATTGCCAAAGAACTGTCCAATAACACACACAAACACACCCTCCCTCACCCCCCTCACCCCCCCCCCCACACACACACACACACAGAGTTACAAATGTATAACTACTGCTCGAAACAGACATACAAAAACAAATGACATTTATTTAGACTAAAGGAATATCTTGACTTTTATCACAGCTGTAATGGCAAGACTTGGTGAAAAACTTGTTAAAGCCTTCCATCAGCAAGAGCTGTGTGATTTAGAAATTTCCTTATCAGATGGAAGTATCATGGGTGCACACAGGACAGTGCTCATATTGGGCAGCGATTGGTTTAGAACATGTTTAAATGAAAACTGGGACCCCAAGCAATCAAAAAGGACAGTTATTTGCCATGATTTCTTGCCTTCACAAACAAGATCTGTGATAGAATTTCTGTACCAACATGAGATTGATTTATCTTTTGAGAATGTTGAAGATATGTTACAGGCAGCTCAATTTTACATGGTTTCAGATTTGTCTGAGAAATGTTTAGATTTTCTTCAACAATCCGTATGTTTTGATAAAGCTTTGCTTGTTTTACATATTGCACACAAATTTGGTTTGAAAAATGTTGTGCTATCATCATTGTTATACATTGACAAATTTGCCAGAGACATTTTATCAAATAGTCCTGCAAATGAAATGTTTTTTCAGTATCCTGTAGATTTGATTAATTTGCTGCTTGAATGAAATACATTATGTATTCATGAAGAGAAGTTATTTTTGTTGATAGTAAAGTGGATGAATTCAGAATGCAGAAACGTTTCAGAAACTTGGAGGAAAATTGTTCCAAATATCAGGTTTGGTAGAATGTCTGCTACTTTTTTTATTGAAAATGTTGTTTATAGAAACATAATTAGTGATGATTTTGCAATGAAAGTTATGTTGTATTTGAATTCATTGAGTGTTTGTAAGGACACAGTTGGTCCAGCTTTTCAATCTCCTGTTTGTGTGTCAGAGGAGGACATTAGGATCATTAGATTTTTTTCAAAAAGTCCAAGCAATACTTGGAAGTGTGATGAATTGAATGGTGATAGACTTGTGTTTTCTGTAAATAGAAATATACAATTTCATGGCATCATTTTGTATGGAAACTACAATGTCTCACTTTTAGTTGAAGTGTCATTATCTTGTGATGAAAATATTCTCCTTAAGGAAAAAATACGTGAAGAGTTGACTGAGGAGTGTGAATTTTCATTTATTTTTGCAAACAGTGTTACTTTAGAAAAAGACAAGTTGTATACAGTTGCTGTGCACATGTCTGGATGTGATGTATATTTTGGTATAGATGGATTAACAACTGTTTAAACAATCTTTGAGGTAAATAAAACTGTCACAGTAACTTTTTCCGACAGTATTTGTAGTCTCACAAACTCAAGAAGAGGACAAATAAAAGGCATTATTTTGCATTGATAACTACAGCAAATTTGTGCATTGATATTGCATATAAACCCAAATCATATAAACCCTGTTTGTAACAGACGTAAAAAAAAAAAATCCCTCTTCATGTATATACCGGTACCTTTGAAATATGTATTCCTCTAGTAACAGTTTAAAATGTTTATATTGTTTTATTGGGGGCAGTAATGTGGCTGCTGCATTATATTTGCATTACATTTATAGACATGTAACATTGAAAAACATTTTGTATTCATGAACAGTTTAGTGTTGTAATTGGAGTGTTTTATCGGGGGCGGTAATGTGGCCGCTCCATTTACATTACAATTATTACTTATATATCTGCAGCATTGAAATACTTTTTGTAATCATTTGGATTTTAGTATCGTTAACTGGAGTATTTTATCGGGGGTGGTAATTTGGCCGCTCCTTTTGCATAACAAGTAACTTCCATTACATTTGTTATTAAATTTATTGTAAATATCATTGTGTCTTTCATAATGCAAATTATTATTATTTCATTGCAATGGAGTATATCATTGCTGATTGTATGTACTGTCAAACTTCGTTATCTCGAACCTGATGAGCCTGAGAACAAAATTCGAGATATCCGAGGATTCGAGATATCAAGGATAAAATACTTAAAGAACATGTGGTTAGGACTTCCACATCACTTCGACATATCCATGGTATTCGAGATATTGGAGTTCGAGATATCAAAGTTCAACTGTATATGGGTGTGTTACTTATGTATTACAAGCATACAAAATGCTTGTTGGCAAAATTAAAAAAAAATCCCAGCACTTAAAATCATTTCACTTTGTATACCTCTTTAGCAATCTTATAAGTCTAGCCCTATTCATATCCAAAGTTATGGGTGAATTATTTAAGATATCAGATATTGGGTATATATGTCTTAGTTAACAAGCGAACACAAAAAACCAATGATTTAACTTTATTCACATAATAAATAAATACAATTGTTAAAAAGTTCACCGAGATATAAACTTCGTCAGTCAAATCCTGTGAAACATGAAGGTCTTCTCAGATGATTTGTTCATATAGCAACAAATTTCATATCCCGATGAAATTTTAACATTGCAGTTTATAACTTTCAAAAGTATGAACAGTGTTTTAAGTAACAATGTATCAGTCAATCAATAAGCTTGTCTGATGATCATTGTGACCTAAAAAATGTGATCTCTTAACCAGTTCAAAATTTCAAAAAGAGAGGAATGTTTTTGCTTTTTAGTAGGTTTATATTAGAAAATATATAGAACACATTTGAACAACATTTCTAAATTTTTGCATGAGAGAATGCTTAGCTTGACTGTGGTCTTGTTGTAATTGTGTTTGTGCCCTGTAATATTTGTGTGTCATTAAAAATATTATCTTAATGAATATGGTTTGTGTAGGACTTGAAATCGGTTATTATATAAATGTTGCATGTAGTTGAGTGTAACATTGAAAATTTTCACCCCAAGAAAACCATTTTCGACCGAGGCGCAGCCGAGGTTGATGGTGGTTTTCGAGGGGTGAAAATTTTTAATGTTACACTCAACTACAGGCAATATTTATAATATTATACTGAATGTTTTATACACATACATATTACATTAAACCTTGCAAGCATAAATTCTGAGCAGTCCATATTTTTTGGAATATCACCCGTTGTCAAGCAATGTTGACTTGCTGCGCTGGAGGGCGTGGCTTCATTATTCAGCGGGCAATGGTGTTTTTTAACAGACGTTTCTCGACAAATCAGATTCAACTAATTTACATGGAAGTTTGATTTATATATATATATATATATATATATATATATATATATATATATATATATATATATATATAATATATATATATATATATATATATATATATATATATATATATATATATTCTTGAAATGCAGTTGGTTTATCAGTGTGCATCTGAATATAGATATCTGCTGCATTTGATGCAAAAACTGTCAACTGATGTACAGCTCTTTTAAAGTTTTTTTTTTTTTTTTTTTTTTTTTTTTTTTCAGGATCTTCTTTCTAAGTTTCATATTAGAAATAAGAAAATATTGACAATGAATGAAGGTAACATTTTGAAACTATTGTTTTCCTTTATAATATTTCATTACCAATTAATGATTATGCCATGTTGAATTCTTAAGAGAAAAATGTTGTATTAACTATATACATGTATATAAACAACAAACAGCAATTTAAGAACTTACCAATAATTTCATGTACAATTTATTGCAGATTTAAAATCGTATACAGTGGCGCCTCGTTTATCCGGACGTCTCCGTTCCCAACGAAAACGTCCGGATAAATGAATCGTCCGGATAAGTGAATCATTAAAAAAACAAAAAAAAAAAAAAAAAAAAAAAAAAAACCCTTCTCCAAGCATGTGTATATGCTCGTACTGGTATCAAATATGAAGGCAAAGGGGAAAAAAACTGATATTTTGGTTTAAACGTTTTATTTTTTAGCTTTATAAGAAGTAATTAAGTAAAAAAAATATATTAAATGATATTAAGTGATACTGGGCAATTTTATGCTGAGACCTTTTTTAACGCAGGGAATTTTATTCGCCCTCTCTTTGGCATGAATTCATGGGCTGAGAAAATTTTGATTTACTGTTGTATCATTTCACTATCTTTTATAATTATTGAAGCTCATATAATATGACAGAACTGTTCAGCATCATCATTGAAAATGTTCAAATATAAACTAACCCTGTATATTCCCGTATATTCTTTACACAGGGCTACTATAGTAACTGAACACTGCAAGCTAACTCAAACACGCGCAATCAGTGAAAGTATTGTAAACATTCAACATAAACACAAGCAATCTTCATGATTATCAATTATTTTTTTCTAAAGACCCTAGGTTTGATTTCGATCACAAAAAATACCTTGAAAAACGTAATCAACTTCTATACGTAACGCCAGTTTTATATTTCTTTTCGAAAGTAACGTACGTTTATAGACAGTTGTACATTAATATAGAAAGATATTTCTTTTCTGCCTAATGTAGAAAAAGCGTTTCAAATACATTTACGTTTTTAGAAATAGAAAATCATATTTAAACTAACAATCAACATGATCAAGACCATTACGAAATCGCTCGTTATTTATTGTTCTTTTTATTTACAACTCTCCAAAATTCTCATGAATTTACCGATGTATATACGGTTAGCAATATGATTTTGAACGGATTATGATTTAAGTAATGCACAGTGTAAGCGAAAATCTTCGAGTTTCATAATAGACGTACGTGTGATTTAATTGGGGTAAACACACGCTAATTATAGACGCTATTGTCTGTAGGTCAAAGGTAACCGCCTTTAAACTGACTGTATGGCCAATGTTTTTACAACAATTAACACTACTGCAAGATGAGTGAGAAAAAGCCGTTTCTTGAAAAATTACCGTCCGGATAAACGAGTCATTTTTCAATGAACTATTACGTTTTGTAGTAGAAATCGACCGTCCGGATACGGAACGCGAATTTCCGGATTAATGAGACAGAATAACGTGGAAAAAATCGGTTCCCCAAAAATATCGTCCGGAAGGTGAAGCGTCCGGATAAATGGCGTCCGGATAAACGCGGCGCCACTGTATTGAGTTTTATCATAGACTTGGTTTGCCACATAAAGAAATTGCCATTTTATTGAAAACAAAACATAATCAACATTACAGGTAATTCTTTTCCCAGACTTTCTACTTTTAATATATTTTTGGACAAGTACAATTTGAAATATTTGTTGAATTTCTAAATGTAGTTATGCAAGAAATGTTTTGCATGAAGGAATTAAACCATTTTAATATAATATTGAATTGTTTCAACACTGAATTACATGCAGATCCTTTATATTTGATAAAAAAAAAAAAAAAACATGCCAATAAATAAATAAATTTCAGGAAATTTTGAATGGATTATAATATTGTTCATGTATTACAGTGTATTAAAATTAAAAGATCTGTTCCTGTTGGATCATTTTTATTACAGTGTTGAGTATCTAAAGAGGAAAGTTATTCCCAAGTTACACTTAAACAACAGGAGAGGATCTGCGCAACTTACAAATTTTGATGATATTTTACAAGCTATACTGGTAACTTTTATGTCTTATAGCAATTTGTTAACTTTTATAATATGCATGCTAATATATGATAGTACATGGTCTGTAATTTGTAAATATTGATTATTTCGTAAACATTTACTTTGGCATGAATAATATACAGCATTTATATTAACCCCCCTCCCCCAACAAATAAGTTTGATGCTTGAATGACATGTATTTTTTCTTTGAATTCTTGAATTGCTCAGTTAAAGCAGGTAAAAGTTAAATCATTTTCAGTAATTTTATTTAGAAAATTGTGTGATTAGTTATGGAACTGCAATTAAATATTATTAAATTATTAAAATTTAGTCACTTCAAAGCATTATTTTACCTTTTAAAATGAAAAAAATCAATTTTTATGAAATAATTTCACAGATTTTAATTGCAGCTTGAAATGTCTCTAATGCCAGATAGAAGTGTAACCGATGTGTTCTTTAGATTGAAATTTATTTATGGATACATTGTTCGAAGGTAATTTATATTTGTTGTTTACATACATACTAGCTGTTTTTAATCCCTAATTTGTTTTTCCACAATTTTTACTTGACATGGTGTGGATAATTGGTTTGAAACTTGATGTGTCACTACCTAATGAGAAACATATGATGAAGTTATTTACATGTATTTGGAACTTCTCATTTTCCCAATCAGGTTTATCCTTCAAATAGACATGATGCTCATGATCATTTAAAATATATATTCAATATTGCAATTCAATGAATTCAAGGAATTTATTCTTGAGAAAACATTAAGTGAAATAATTATTTTCTTTCTAATTAAATTGGATTTTTATGTGTTCGCACAGTACAACCAGGTAATGCACATGCAGTACACATTTTCCAATTACCAGGTATACATTTAGGCATTTGTGTTATTCTTACATTATTATAATGGTTTAAATTATAGTGAAGATATTTGAAAAGACCTTTTCCTTCTTTGTCGTTTCCACAGTTCACATCAGTCCTCATATATTATATAATTTCAAAATAACTGATAGAATGTGCAAATGAAAAAAAAGGTAGTTTGCATGAAACTATGTGTAGTTTCATTCCTTAGGAACTAAGACCTTCCTCCAATAGAGAAGGAAATTTCTGTATGGTTTAATTCTCAGAATAATTCTAGATGAAAACAAATTTACAAATACATGTATTCTCATCAGAATTTTCTTGCTTGTGCAGTACTCTCAGAATGCTTGCTATTCATTAAGTTAAAGGTGCAAGTACAAACAGGATAGTGTGGATGGAGGGGATGGGGTATTATACTATCTGCATATGTTAAATAAGTTATTTAATGATAATAAATGTATCCACTTTAAAATATTTGGACTTTCAGAAAACTGGTACGAGAAATAATGACCACTTTAGACCCTAAAGGAATGTCCAGAAGGAAAGGCAATAAACTTAAAAGAAGGCAGTACCTCAGTAAAGGTTAAATTTAACTACATGTGTGTGTGTGAGAGAGAGGGTGTGTGAGGGAGGGTAGGTATGTGTCTTGTGTGTGTGTTTGTGCACTTTATTATGCTTTGAACATTTTCTTTATGGTAAATGTAAGGGAGACAAGTTCTGATTTTTAGTTTTTTTAAGCATATGACTATACAACATTAAATGGAGGGGTTTTATGTAGTCGATGTGATTTCAAAGTCTTGCCATTTTGTTTTTTAGGTCCAAATTGGATATGGCATATAGGTAAATATCAAATTAGCCCAAGACAGTTTTTCTTATTTTTTTTTCTCTCTTTCCCCCTCACCCAACCTATTTTCTTAAACATACATGTTGATCAAGTGCCTTAAAAGTAAACATTAAGGATATTTCATGTTTGGCTGTATTGAAGATGGAGGATTGTAATTTTTGATCTCTGGATGCATGATTGATGGTCATTGTAAATTAATTATATTAGTTGGCTGGATTGCACAGTATACATGATGAAAGCCCTCTGAGACAAAGATGGTCTAAGATGATACTTTTGTCAATTAACAATGGTATACTGAAACATATGCTCATCCTTAATTATAGATGAAAATGATTGATATATATGCAGGTAGATGCTACTTATTTTTAAGGATAAAAAGATAAATATTTCCATTTCTATTTGTTTTCTCTGTGATAACTCTGAAAGTTAGGAGAGTTGATTTCTTGATCATTCCACCGGAATGCAAATTTCACCAAGCGAAAGGTCAGGAGGTAAGAAGGCCTAATATGCATGTAATTCTCGTGCGACTGTCTTTGTGTTTGACGTCAGTGGGCGGGGACTATTGAAATTGACATGTGAGGCCTCGTGTAATTCAAATCTATTAGTCTACACTTTTAAAATCTAAATTCACAATCTTATTTCACTATGAAATGGAAATATAAGGAATCACTGTCTAGTTAGTAGAGTATGCCAGGGACATCAACGATAGTGGGAAACGTGGGATAATTTATGCATAACGGGCTTCGCCCATTATGCAAATTATCCCACGTTTCCCACTATCGTTGATGCCCTGGCATACTCTACTAACTAGACAGTGATTCCTTAAATATCTTGTATCCTTAAGCAAGCAGGCACATAACATTGTTTGTTATGGTGGAGAGGCCAGACAAGAAGTGGCCAATTGGCTTGCTAATTTATCTTTCTATATATAAAGATAAAAGAACTTTAAAAAAAGAAAACTGCAGTGGCAACCTGTAGCCTGTGATCTATGTTAAACAGTATTTCAAGAAATATTAATGTAGGATAAATCTTCTTTTTCTAGACCAGTATGATAAGTTGAGTCCATACGGAATACACATCAGTGGCTGTATTGATGGGTAAATTGTTTTTTTTAAAGCCTTTTGTTTTGGAAAACATTTATGAAACACTATGAATCTTGTATACAACAAGTGATTGTAATTTTCTCAGATTAACTTTTGAATCACTTCAGGATTTTTAGATAATTATTAAATGTTCATTTATTTCCTTTTCTTATTAGGTTTTCTTGCTACGTGCTTTGGTGCGAAGCAGGAATCAGTAATAAAAACCCAAAGAAAATTGCAGCATATTTTATAAACACATTAGAACAAGTTAATTGTAATGTTTTAATGTTTTCCAAAAAAAAAATGGAATGTAATTGTAAGTGCTAATGGAATTTCTTTCAAAAGTTTATAGGTATAAAAGCAGATAAATACTCATTTGTGTTTCATATTGTTATGATAAAGATGACCTTTCCAATTTTATTGAAATGTTTGATGATTTTTAAAACAAAATGATCATTTACCTCTTTTTTTTTCAGGATATCCACATATTGTAAGGGGTGATGCAGGTTAGTTTTATTTCTTTTATATATTTAGATTTCTGATTTAATAAATATTGCCTTCTGCTGTTTTAAACTTTGCTGCACAAACATTTGGTTAATTTTGTTTCATGCTTTTGTGCAACAAACTGTCTTGATTAGGTGTAGTGCTAGGGTTTGTCCCAGGTTGTCAAAACTGACACTCTCCTGATAAACCTACATTGTGAGGGTCAAAACCGTGCTATCAATTCAATAATAAATTCAATATAACATAACCAGTGAAAATCATTTTTATGCATTGTTTCCTTAATTGTGCTTCCTTTTCTGCTGCAATGTGTTCAAGTGCTATTACAGTACTTTGTTTTTTCAACCTCCACTTCTGTTTGGGGATCCTCTGTGTTTTCTCTGAAAATGTAGTATCACTTAATTAAAAAAAAGGAATGAATTGAATTTTACTATCAAGTATATATATATACTGAACCAACATAATGATATACACATTTTATTATATATTTACCATGTGTAAAGGTACCTTAATTTGGAAAATTGAATTCTCGCATATAATCATAGCCTCCAAACAAAATAAAGTATGATGTATGCAAGGTTTGTATTCAGCAGAGAGGAACACAGTTTAAGGCATTGAAACCCAAACGAGTCGCTTTCAGAAACGCAACTTAGGCCTGTATGAATATTCACTTACCTGAGTCAGAATAAATTAAGCCAAAGTCTACACCATTTTGTGAAAGGGTCCCTGACACAGCAGCCTTTTATTTAAGATAAATGTGAAATAATTCCTGAAAAAAATGATACTTTACTTTTTATTAAAAAGGAACAGAGAATGGGACTGTAGCAGCCATCCAGAACTTCTTAAGAGAAGATGATGAAGATTCTTTCTGCAAAAAAGTCTTTATTTATGGCAAATCAAAACATAATCAGGTTTATAGATTTTTCTTTCAAAATATACCCATGTCTTTCTTGCATTTTAGGTCATCTGATTCACTTAGTTGACCTATTGCCATTGGTCTTTGTCTGTTGTCCATTATCAATTTTTACATGCTGAACTTATCCTCTGTAATTATTGAGCCAATCTCCACTAGAGTTGGTGGGTAACATCTATAGAGGAAAAGGAATATAAGTTATGGAATTCATTATCTCCAACCCCAATGGAGCTGAGATTTTGGATAAAAAGTTGTAGAAATTGATGCATGATTTTAAATCTTCTTCTCTACTCCATGGCATCTAGCAGAGAAACTACTACATTGTTATGATGAACAAGGAGGCCTCTAATTAAAGTCTGAAATTTTGGCCCCAGGAATGGGGGTTTGTGTGTTTGGGTGGGGCACATTGGTCATATAGTGAATATAAAAATATTCTTCTCTACTTCTTGGTATCTATTGGGCAAATTAAGTACATGGATAGGATAAGGAAGGGAGTCTCTATCAAAGTGGTGAAATTTATTGCCCCAGAGTCAGGGGTTCTGGTGTTGGGGTCATATACTAGTAGTGAATGTGCATTAACTATTTGTAAATCTTTACTATTTGCCACATACCATGCAATCTGAGTGTATGTTTAGAATGATCATGGAAGCATCTACCAAAAATATTTATAGTTACGGTCCTACAGTCAAAGATTCTGGCTATAGGGTGGAAATGAAATGAAGCTGCATTTATAATCCTCTCTACTACTAGGCACCCAGCAGGGAAACTAAGTGACTGTATGGGTAGGAGAAGCAAGGAAAAATGTAAAAGTTATGATGCAGGGTCAGAGGTTATTTAAAATTAAATACAATTATCCTAAAGTTTGTCATGAAAGGAATGTGCAAAGGAAGGCAGCAAGTTTTTCATTAATAGTCTGTCTGAGTTCATAGATTTAGTTTTTGTTTATTGAGTCTGTATCACAGTAAACATTATTCTCTCTGTGTGTCAGGAGCGTTCTGGGCCAAATTTTCTGATTCAAGTATTAAGGTTTGGTTTTATTTTTCATAAATGGTTTCAATTTTTTGTTTTCCTTTTTAAGGTAGAATACTTTTAAATATTGTTTTACTCATATGTACAGACAGTTTAAGTTTTGTAATTGTGAGACACAAAAGATGAATTTGCATGCTGTAAAATATTTAAATATTGATAATTACTGAGTTTGATCTTGAAAATATTGTCCTTTTGAAAAAAAAAATAAAATGGATGTGGACTTATAATGAAGTTTATCAGTATGACTCTTTAATTATCTTTAATTTTTAACTTTAATTTTCAATTTTTATTTTTTAAGAGGATTGAGAGATGGTGGGAAATTTTACGAGGGAAATGTACAGATCGATGGATACATCATTTTAAGGTTAAATATGAGATTTCTATCATTTTATGTAAGAAATCCGATGTTGTTTTCTTTTTGTTTTTTTTTTTTTTTTTTGTTTTCCATTTTTTTTCTTTAAAAATTTGTTATTGTTTTCAGGAATTGGAAAAGGATGGTCATTTTACAATCGGGGAAAAACTGCATATGTAAGTTTGCTTTTGACATAGAAGAAAAACAACAACAATGTAGGCTGGCTGTTCATCCATGAATGTTTCCATTAACTGGATATTTTACAATTCTCTCCCTTTTTTCCAAAGAAATCCAACTGTTTTCATATGAAAATGTTTAAATATTGCATGTCAGTGGGGGTAACATTGAAATTTGTGTACATTAGAAATCATTGACCTTCAACGGTAACCCTTGATTGCTTGCAATAATGGAATGTGTATAATATTCAGGCTGTTACAAACTGCAACATTATTCAAGGCATTGTACACTTGTATCTTACCAATTCAGTTAATTGTATGTGTATTTAGATTGTCAAATTCCTTATTCTAAATACTAGCGATTTTGACCAAAGAGAATACCTGTGGTGAACAGTACATGCATATACTGTACATGTATTTTGCCATGTCAAAATTTATTTGTGAATATCCTCTGTTGTTATGTGGTTTTGCCCAATTACTATGTTAATCTATATAACTCTAGAAGGTGTGGTTTCATCATTAAAGAAAATTCGTGATCTTTTATTGAATGTTTCTTAACCAGTGCATTTAGTTTTGAAGCCCCAAAAACTAATGTAACCATGTTTTATTTCAGAACATTAGTTCAATATTGTTACATGCAAATTATCAGGAAAGAATTGGAGGATGTGAAATTGGCATGGAATTACCATAGAATCAGGAAGCAAAAAACAGGCGATGTTGTTCCTGGGATTCCAGAACTCCTTTATTATGTTCCAGAAATGTTAGGTCAGTTAATTTCATGTATGAATTTTTTTAGAATACATAAGAATTGCACAATACAGTTTGGGAAAAGTGCATTGACAGAGGAGAACAACAACAAATATCACACCCACCCTATCTCTCTCTCTCTCACACACACACACACACAGAAAGAGAGAGAGAGGTCACAATTTAAGGGAAAGGGCGCCAATTTTAGACACAAAATTTCATACGCGGATAATAGAGGCATTGATTTTTAGGCTGTCACTCAAACACTGCATTATGATTTATATTATGATTATGCATTTATGACTTCTACTGAGAAGTTCTGTGTGCAGTGATTTACTCATTTACTTCTTCTGTGTAAACATCCAGTCTCATTTAAAACTATGTAAATTAATGTTGATAATTGACATGAAATAATGAAAATAATTTAATATCATAATTTTGGGGTTTTCCCATTAAAACTAGATTAATTTTCAAGTGTATAAAGTGGAAATAATTGTTGAGATTGTTGTACCATGCTCTTGATGAGGGTTTCAAAATAGAGTGTCAACATTCTTTCTCTCCAGTAGTTTCTCTCTGGTATTTTATTGAATGGGTTTATTTCCACTGCTGATGAGGTATTAAAATAATACTTTCACATGGAGTTCAGTTGAAATTGGTATGGTATGGTATGGTATGAAATGTATTTTATATGGAAAAACATGTTGTTATTTAATAATTATGTCATTTTATTTCAGGCAATCCACAGTGCCGAAATTACATTCATCAAATCAATGTTAACGATGAAAAGTTTCAGTTCCTTAAGGACCAATGCTGCTTTGAAAATGACCTGGATAAAGACACTAAGGAAGCTCTTGATGTCATTTGAGACAATTACCATCCTTCAACAGAACTAGAAGCAAAAACAATGTATATAACACTAAAAGATATACTGGAACAATATATTTATCAATAGGTTGTAATGAATTCTTGATCTGATTTATAAATACGTAATATATTCCTATAATTCTCTTCCTTTTTTGTATGTTTTCACCAGCACTTTAACATACACTTTTTTTATATTAGTCTTTTACATGTGTTATTATATGGTACTGGCTTTTCTGTCCATCAGCCTGTTCATCTGCCTTTATAATCACTCTAAGCTTTTGCTTATCAGAATAGGTTCTTGTTTCATTAAAGTAGACCGTGAGAAAAAAATCGAGTGCAGACTTGCTCAATAAAATAAATGGCATTTAGTTTTTCAAAATTACACTATTTAAAATTTTGGTATGCTTTGGAATTAATTAGATGTTGGAAATTGAC